AAATTAACAAAAATTAACAAAAATTAACAAAAATTAACAAAAATTAACAAAAATTAACAAAAATTAACAAAAATTAACAAAAATTAATGAAGGTAATAAAATTTTTTAAGTTTTGAAGAATCTTTTTACAACCATCTCAATAGCTTTACATAATTTTTCAATACCAATAACAACTTCCTCTTCTGTAATATTTAATGCAGGAATTAACCTTATGGTTTCATAAATACTGGTTGTCAATACAATTAAATCTTGCTTTTCAACTGATTCTTTTGCTACTTCTGATACAAATCCATATGGAACTCCTTGAAATTCAATACCAATCATTAATCCTAACCCACGAATATCTAAATTAACTTGTGGAGGTAATAACGGTTTAAGTTTTTTATCCAGTAAAGAAAGTATTTGCGATGATCTATTTTTTTTTTTTGGTATGAAGAATTTATATGTATATTTATATAAATAATAATTGAAGTAACCAAATAAAATCAAAGGTAACCATAAGATAATCAAAATATGCAAACTAACCTTAAATCAACATTTTTCAATAAATTTTCTTCTTCAAATACTTCTAATGTTGCAATAGCAGCAGCACATGATACTACATTACCAGCGTATGTACCTCCCATACTTCCAGGTGGTTGTTTGTCCATTAATTCTTTCCTTGAAACAATTCCACTTAATGGGAATCCACTCGCAATTCCTTTAGCCATAATCATAATATCCGGAACCATTCCAAAATGTTCAGTTGCAAACATTTTACCTGTTCTACCAAATCCACATTGAACTTCATCTGTAATTAATAGAATACCATTCTTTTCACAAAATTTTTTTAATTCCTTAAAGAAATAATTTGGTGGAACGACATAACCTCCTTCTCCTAATATTGGTTCTATTAACAATGCGGCGGTTTCTTGGGGAGAAGTTTGTTGTTTTAATAAAATTTCCAATTGATCAATTGGATCATTGCAACAATTATTTATGTGATATTTATCTGGAAGTTTTTTATGTATTGGACAATTAAAACAATAAGGAAATGGTGCAACGAAAACTCCAGGCTATCAACAAATAGCGTGAAATATAACTTGAATAAAAAAAAAAAAAAAAAAAGGTAAAGAATATAATATTAAACTGATTAAATAAATAACAATTACCATTAATGGACCATAATTTGCCTTATAAACAGTTTTCGATGTCGTAAGTGACATTGAACCAATAGTTCTCCCATGATATGACCCTAGAGAGAGAGAAAACAATCCAAATAAAATAAATAAGATAAATAAGATAAATAAGATAATAATTTATTTATTTATAAGAAAATAAATAAAAAAAATCATAAAATATTATAACACTTTTACCTCGAAAAACAATTATATTCTGTTTCTTAGTTGAATGCCTTGCCAGTTTTACAGCAGCTTCAACAGCTTCAGCACCAGAATTCCAAAAGAAAAATGTGTCAAGTTTTGAAGAAGGCATTACTGATTTTAATTTTCCAATAAGATCCAACATTGGTTTGTGAAAAAAAATATTGACCTAAGATATATATATATATATATTTGTTATATTTGATATATTTGATATATTCAATCCTAATTATTTTACACAAAATATAATTTGTCATTTAAATTAAATATACCTGAGCATGATTTAATTTGGCCGATTGTTCTTGTACAGCTTTTACAACTTTTGGATGACAATGACCTTTATGAATTATATTAGAAATATTAGAATATATATATATATATATTTATATTTATTTATTTATTTATTTTTAATTAACGGAAGACTTATTTCAATATTATTGATAATTTTGATAATTTATATAAGTTGAAGAAATGCTATTTAAAAAATAATTGTTTATTTAAATAAATTTTAACATTTGAAACATGTCACTTTTCCAAAGTATAATTTTTCGCGCCGTTAGTTGTAATGAAGTCACATTTAAATTATATTAAAGTTAAATTAAAGAAATCATATAAGAACTTACCCGTAGAGGTCACGCCTATTCCAGAAGAAAAATCCAAATACTTTTTCCCTTCAACTGTCCAAAGCCATGAACCTTTGGCTTTATCAATTACTAAATTTGATGCCCTACCTATTCCACGAGCAATATGACGCGCGCCAAATTCCGCAAGTTGATTAGAATTCATTTAATAAATACGCTATACTTTTTTCGTGTTGATAAAGCAATGATTGTTACACTATCAAATTTAGAATCCCATGATCGGAATAATTTATTCGTTAGCCCGAAGGCTTGCAAGATATATTAATTTGTATAATCAAAGGTTCGCATGGTCAGGAGAAAGTTTAAGAACGATTAACCTCTTTATAGTAATCTTTTTTTGCCAACAAGAACAGCCGCAATTAAATTACACTAATAAAGAATTCCAATCAGATTTATCAGACGAATTTCATTATTTATCTAAAATTAGTAAAATTAGTTTATTGTCTTGTTACTCAAAGAATGTCTATAAACAATAATAAGATTTTTAGGGATCGGAAAACAAATTTGATGAATTAAAAAAAAGTTATTTACAATTAATTAATTTATATAGTGATACAATACAGTAGTATAAATTTATGACGTTTATTCCATAAAATCTTATAATAATAATACATTTTAATGTATCAAAAGTTTCGTGTCGTCGAAATTTATAATAATTTAAATACATCAAAGGAAGAAAATACAAATATAGATCAAAATAACAAAATATAAATGTATTTCAAATGTTTTTTTTTTTTTTTTTTTTTTAAAAAAAAAAATAAAAATAAATCTATCAATAAAGTAAAAACATGATCAGGATTAGACAGCCAAACATCAAAAGAAGCCTAGACATAAAAGCCTGTTGTGGTGACGGAGGTCCATTTGGTGGAGTAAATGCCTACAAATTAAAAAATAGTTAAATTAAAAAATAATTTAAAAAAATAAAATAATTAAAAAAATAGTTAAATTAAAAAATAATTAAAAAAAAAATAATTAAAAAAAAAAAAATAATTTAAAAAAAAAAATTCAAAACAATTAAAAAATCAAAATATAATATAAAAGAAAATTTTAAGAAATACAAATAATTAAAAAATTAAAAATAATTAGGAGTATTACGAATTGTGCTCCAAATAATGAAGGAAATATCGTGCTGGTTGAAATCGAAAAATGTGGACCAAAGGTTGTTGTATGAAACGAAGAGCCGGGGAAGAATTGGTTTCCAGGTTGATTCGGATCCCGTTGTGGTTGAGGTCTCTGACCTGGAGGACGATTTGGGATTTCTGCATTCGTTCTACATAATAATAATAATAATAAATAAATAATAATAAATAAATAATAAATAAATAAAAATGATAAAAAAAAATAGAATTTAAAAAATAAATTAGTCACATTTAATGAAATGAAATAACATTTAATATTTTCTATAATTTTTAGTACCTTGGATCTTTCGCCTCTTTTCCTCGTCCATATATTGGGATAACTTTATCTTGACCACAGCCAGCTTTACATACTGGACATAAAGGGTTTTGCGATTGGGCCTCTAACCACTTTCATATGCGAATATAAGGATTTATTATATTCACGATTAGATAAATTATCTAAATTATCATCACAATTTTCTTTCAGTATCTTGATCATGCTTACTTGGTGAAGGCAAGGCCAACTGAATTTTTTATTATTTATTATTATTTTTTTTTTTTTGTTTTAATAAAAATTTGAAAGAAAATAATATTTAAATAACATTATTGTATCACAAAAAAAAATTCTTATATATTCATATTTAATATTTGTCCCATCATATCAATTATTATTAGTTAAATGACAGGAATTCTAATTCATAACTTTGAGAGTATTTTGTGAGAGTATTTTAATGAGTTCAAAGAGTTATTCAATTAAAATTTTTTGAATTTCTTTGAAAAACTCAAAAATTTCTCTCAACCTTCCCAAATTATTCTCTCTCAGTTATTTTGGTAGTTATAATTCCCAATTAATAATAATAATAAATAATAATAATAATAAAAATAAAAATAAAAATAAAAAAAAAAAATAATAATAATAATAATAATAATAATAATATAATTTTTACAAACCAAAATAAATGTCCACAAAGAGTAAGAACAGGCGAAGAAGCAGTATCAAAGCTAAATTTCCGTTAATAAATTTGAATTATCAGAAAAATTAAATGAACAATAGAATATTTTAAATATTGAATTCTAAACTTACCAAATATTACATTCATATTCTGAACCTCCATTTGTTGTATTATTCTCATTATTTTTACTATTAGAAATGTTCTTTGCTCCACGACTACTACCTTCGCCTACAGAATTTAGGGAAAGTGACCTCCCAGAAGAAACACAAGTAGCATTATTTGTTGACTTTGATGATTCCGGTGAAACAGGTATTATTGATGTTACTTGGCGTTGTCTTAGAGTAGGTGCGTCTATTAAATTTTGTGTAGAGGAATAAGGCTCTCTAGTATAATGTTCACATTCCAAAATTTCAGTTTGTTGATTTATTGTTTGTGCATTAGCATTTGGACCTTGATATATTATACTATTATTATTATTTGTTTCCGATTGTTGAATTTCTTCACAGTTAGTTTTATCAGAATTTAATGTTCCCTTCATTTCAGATATCCCATTCCCACTCTTTTCACAGTCTAAAGCAAGTAACGAGTCAGAAGATTCATTAGAGTTTTCTCCTTCCAAAGTATCAAGACCCATTCAAAAAAAAAAAAAAAAAAAAAAAAAAAAGTGTTTATAAATAAAACTCTTGGGTAAAGTTGAATTAAAATTAATAAAATTTCTAACTAATTTAAGTCAGCCTTGTGCTATTTGATTTAGGTATCACCAATGCAATAGTTTCGTCTTTGATAATTAATAATCAAATTAAAAATTTTTTTCAGGAAATATTTATATTGGTTTTGGTATTACTAAATAAAAATGTAAAAAATATCATTATCATCATTATTATGTAAATTGTATTTCAAGAACGACACTTTTGAAACTTTTTGAATCAAATCATGCTTATTATTAAATCAAAAGAAGACAAGTTATCAACTTGTTAGTTTTACTTTTAACCAATCAAATAAAACGAATCCAGACTGAGACATCATTTTGTGGCGTCGCCGCAGTTTTGTCCACTGAGGAAAAAATTAAAATTTTTTTTATATAAGGGTATTTTATCTAGAAATTTAAAAATCTTTCCACTATTTCGATTTTTTTTTTTGTCATAGCCGTGCACCGCTGAACGGTATACAGCTCCTAAGAAAATTATTATTTGTAACGACGAATCTTGAGATGTTTTAGTCGGTTAAAATGAACCGAACAGCGAACTCAACTAACACACAAAAAATTAATTACGCCCAAGCTGCTGCGCAGCCAAAACCGAAACAAGTGTCTCAACAACACCAAAATCCTTACCATCAGAATCAGCAGCAACAGCAACAGCAGCAACAGCAGCAACAACAGCAACAAATCGCTGTCTCTTCACCTATTAATTCGACCTCATCAGTTAACGGAAAACCTATTTCACAACAAAAGTCTCAGCCACATACTAACTCGACCTTAGGCAACGGTAACGCTGGGCGATCTGCGCCTGAAAACAAAATGGCCCAGCAAAAAAATCCTGTAATCTTACCAGCGAAGGGACAACACTGGGAAACGAACAGTATGTATTATAACTTTAAATTGGCTCATAGCTTTGGTGATCTTTTTGATCAATTACTTAAAAAATATCTTAAAAATTTAGCTTTAATTCAATTTGGATCAATAAATCAACCGTCCACCAATTTGCCGTTATCGTCCTCCCCAATTCAACCACCTCTAATCAGCGGAGGAAGTCATCCCCCTCCATTACCTAAAAGTGGTACCCCTACATTTGGGACGGTAACTACACGAAGTTCAGAAGAGCTGGTACGATTTTTATTTTATTTTATTGATTCTTTTTTTCATATGTTTAGTTAAATTCACCTTTCTCACTTCTAGTTAATATAATAGATCTGATTATTAATGAATAAATTTTTTTTTTTTGTTAATTCAGGTACAACCAACACCAACGCAACCAGTTGTTGCTTCTTCTGGCCCTGGAGCTGTTACTGGCGCACCTAGGCTTGCTACACGTATACAAAATGAAATTCCTCGAACTCATTCTGCTCCACCGCAGCTTAATCTCCAAGATTCAATTAATGTCAAAAATGTAGGCCAACAGTCAAGTCATCAATCAATTACTACTGTACCACCACATCGTACTCAACCAGTACCCAATGTACAACAGCTGTCCGCGGCTTCATCTCATCAACAACCTACTCCTCCAACTTCAAATCCTACTCCACATCATCGTAAAGATTCTATATCTTCAAATGATGGTCAGCAAATTCAAACTTATCATCCTCATCAACCTCAACCTCAACCTCATCATAATAACCATAATCCTCCAAACCAACAACACGCTCATACACAATATCATCAACATTCTCGACCACATTCACATATCAAGCCTAGTGGTGGGATGGGTCCGGGATCTGTACAAGGGGTACAACAATATCATCCAAGGCGAGACAAGAATGGTCATCCTCACATAACCTCCGCTCAACAAACAGTTCCTACACAAGCTCAAATGGCAATGACTGGACAGCCAACAATGCCGATACAACTTGGGTTTTATCGCTCCGTATGCATTGAAATTTTTTTTTTTTTGGATATTTAATATTATTATTGTTAATTTTAATATTTTAAAATTTTTTTTTTTTTTTGGAATATACTAATTCTTTTTTTATTTTTTTATTTATACATTATCGTTATGTTATTTTATGTTATGTTAGCAATATGATTTATATTATTATCCACAACAAATGTATGCTTTCGTTCCTCCCCAGAGACCACAACATTCTTATAACCCTGCTCCTTATACCCCTTCTCAACCAAAAAGTAAAGCTGTCCCAATAATAAATCCTACGGATAAGACAGTTGTCAAACCTACTCCTACCGCCAAACCCATTCCTCTGGGTAATTCAACTATAAAGAAAGATGAGACTCCTGTATCTGTAGCTGTTGATGTTAAAAAGCATGATGATGCCGATAAGGAAAAAGAAAATCACATTCCGGATGCAGATAAGAAAGAGTCAAGAGCAGTTCCTATAGTTAATCCTATTTATAAAGAAAAAGAGCGTGAAGAAAAAGAGCGTAGAGAACGTGAGGAAAAAGAACGTTTAGAAAGGGAAGAGAGAGAGCGTAAAGAGCGCGAGGAAAGAGAAAGAATAGAAAGGGAAGAGAGAGAGCGCAAGGAGCGCGAGGAAAAAGAACGCAAAGAGCGCGAGGAAAAAGAACGTATAGAGCGTGAAGAAAAAGAAAGAATAGAAAAAGAACGCAAAGAGCGTGAAGAAAGGGAACGTAAAGAGCGTGAAGAAAAAGAAAGGATAGAAAGAGAACGCAAAGAACGTGAAGAAAGAGAGCGCAAAGAGCGCGAAGAAAAAGAAAGAATAGAAAGGGAGGAAAGAGCAAGAATAGAAAAAGAAGAGAAAGAGCGCGAAGAAAGAGAACGCAAAGAGCGTGAAGAAAAAGAGCGCAAAGAGCGCGAAGAAAAAGAAAGAAAAGAAAGGGAAGAAAGAGAAAGAATAGAAAAAGAAGAGAAAGAGCGTAAAGAGCGCGAAGAAAGAGAAGAACGAGAACGCAAAGAACGTGAAGAAAGAGAGGAGGCTGAGCGGTTACGTAAGGAAAAGGAGGAAAAGGAGGAAAAAGAACGACAGGCTCGAGAAGAGCTCGAAAAGGTTCACCTTGAAAATGAACTAGCGAGGCAGGCTGAAAAAAAGAGACTAGAGGAAGAAAATGTTAAAGCTGAAGCCGAAGAGGCAGAAAAGAAAAAAGAGACCGAATCAAAAGAACCAAAAGATAAGAAATATGGAAAAGGAAATAAGCCTGGACCATTGGATCTTTCTTTATCTCGCACAGCCTCAGCACCAGCACTAGGAAGTGCTCTTCTTAGTGCTCGTAGAATCGAAGATTTAACGGCTGTAACATATCCAGCGAATATTCAATCTCCTAAAAATTCTGAACCTGGAAAATATAAATATGATCGTGGTTTCCTTATGCAATTCATGACTGTTTGTAAGGATAAGCCAGAAAATTTACCTACAGATGTTATTGCTATGGAAGAAGCCAAGGATGATAAAAAAAGAGGCACACGTGCCAATTCTCGTCCCACACAGCATTCTAAAGGCAGTCCAAATCAAACTACACAGTATGCACAAATGGGTGAATTTAAGTTCACACCAAAGACAAGTGAAGAACGTTTCCTCGCTTCAACTAATACAAGTTCCAGATCTATTAGTTCCACGGGTAGTTTTGGTAGTAGGTCTACACTTGGTCCTCGTACAGGTAGTGGAAGCACAATATTGCCACCCATGATGAATATTCCACAAAGTCCAGGTAGGAATTCCAGTAATACTCGACGAAATACAGATAAACATGGTAAAAAAGGTATACATCAATCTCAACAAGGTCAGAATATGGGACAAGAACCAGTACCACCTCTTGAAATGACGGAAAATCGATGGGTTCCCGTTTCAGTGAGCAATCAACATAACAAATCAACAGATGACTTTATACCGATGGAAACAGTACAGCGTAAAGTTAAAGCTTTATTAAATAAATTGACATTAGAGAAATTCGATAGTATATCAGATCAAATTATTGATTTTGCCAATAAATCTAGAGATGAAAGAGAGGGGCGAATATTAAAAGAGGTTATTCGTCTTACATTCGAGAAATCATGTGATGAACCAAATTTCAGTCAAATGTATGCACAACTTTGTCGTAAAATGATGGAAAGGATAGACGTTGAGATAATAGACGAAAACGTTAAAAACGCTGATGGTAAATTTGTTCAGGGTGGTACATTGTTTAGAAAATATTTGTTAAATAGATGTCAGGAAGATTTTGAAAAAGGTTGGAAAGTCAATGTTCCTTTACCATCTAATGAAAAAGGCGAGCCTGATCTTATGTCAGACGAATACTATACAGCGGCAAAAGCAAAAAGACATGGACTTGGTCTGATACGCTTTATTGGTGAATTATTTAAATTAAATATGCTTACTGAGCGTATTATGCATGAATGTATAAAAAAATTGTTGACTGTATCCGGTAATCCTGAAACTCCTGAAGAGGAAGAAATGGAAAGTTTATGTAAATTATTAACTACTGTTGGGCAACAACTTGACCATGAGAAAGCAAAAACACATATGGATACATACTTTAGTCGAATGGAAGATATCTCGAGAAACCCAAAAATAAGTAGTCGTATAAGATTTATGTTACAGGCAAGTCATTATATTCAATTTGTTTATATTATATTTAAAAAGCCGAGTTTCTCATCATTCATTTTTTCACTTTTTCATTTTTTTTTTATTACAGGATGTAATTGAACTACGAAATAATAATTGGATACCGAGACGTGATAACAATGCTCCAAAAACCATTGCTGAAATTCACGAAGATGTAAGTCTAATTGGATTAGTCGTCATCTTTCAAAAAAAAAAAAAGACTTCTACATTAATGCATGTGTTTTATATTATAGGCTGCCAAACAAAAAGAAGATGAATTTATGAGGAGAACTGCAAGTTCAGGTGGCAGAGGTATGTCGTTAATTACAATTATGATGATCGATTTTTAGTATGTATTATCGAAAGTTAACCGTATTTTTTTTTTGTGGTTATGAACAGGATTGCCTAAAATGGCGGATCAAATGACACGTGTCGGTTCTGGTCGTCGCGATCATCGCGACAAAAGTTCGAGTGGTGGACAATCACTTGATGGTTGGAGCACAGTTAGTGGTTCATCATCACGGAAAGCTGGCGATCTATCTAAATTTGGGTCAGTATCGCGTAGTAAAGTCTCCGGTCCTGTAAGTTTAGCTCCTGGTGGAGGGGTGGGTGCTTTTACAGGTGGATCGAAAGGATGGAAAACTGAGAACAAAGATCGTGAAGATAAAGCTTCCAGCATGGCACGAGCAAATTCAACTTCGAATTTGTATAGTGTATTAACTCATGCTGATACTGAGCGTAAATCGTTTGAAGGACCCACTACCGACTCACCGAAAGCATCCCCCCCAGCAGAAAGGAAAAAGTTAATCCTTCATCCACGATCCATTCAAGAAAGTAATGTTGCTCCTAAACCAACTACAGCCGCTCCCTCACCACCACAACCATCACTGATATCAGAGGAGGTGGCAGAAAGAAAAATCAATAATATGATAGCTGAATACTTTAACGTACTAGATATACAAGTAAGTATAAATAGTTCTGAAATTAATTTGGTTTACATATATATATTTATTTATTTATTTATTTAAAAATAATTCGGTAATCATTTTGTAGGAGGTTATTTTATGTGTAAAAGATTTGCCCAATGAATATCATTCAAAGGTGGTCTCATCATTTGCCAATAAGGTACTCGAAAAGAAACAAGATGATGTACGTAAAGTCATTGAAATGTTTGACCGAGTCATGAACGAAGGCGTGCTTACCAAGAAGGAATTTATAGATGGTTTAGCTGTTACCATAGAATTTTTGATAGACATTGGTGCTGATGCACCAAAATCTTACACTTTTACTGGACAATTGTTATTTACCGCTCGATTTGATCTTAAAGAAGTAACGGAAATATTAAAGCCTTTATTAGATGATGTAAAGGGCACAGAAAAGGTGGTGGCTGGATATATAGAAGAATGGAAAAGAGAAATTGTAAGCTTTTAAATATATATATATATATACATATATATATATAATTTTAAAATATAATATATGAATATATTCTATTTTTCATAATAATTAAAATGATAATAATTTTATTATTTAAATTTAACAAGGACGAACAATCAATTGCGCGAAAGGTGAAAGATTCCGGTTTTGATTTTAAATTAATATTTCCTCACAGCGATATAAATAAATCCCTTGAAAGTATTGTAAGTTATTAAATATTTTCTATAACTTTTTTTTTTGTGAAAGATGAATTTTTATTAATTATTTTATTTTTCGTTATGAACTTTTAGGGGCTTGAGACATTAAAAAAATAATAACATTAAAAAATTTACGTTGTAGAATAGTTCTATATATAATATATTCATTAAAATTAAAGCATTTCAATGAACATTTTAATCTTAAAGCATCTTTAGAGTTTTTTTTTTTAATTTCAATTTGCTTTCGTATAAAAAAATTATCATACATTGTGTACATTTTTCACCTTCCAAAACTTTCATTAATTTTTAAAAAAATTTTTGATATTGGAGGACGTATATTTACCTCCATTGTATATTTTTTTTTTAATAATTTTTATAATATCTCAACCTTTTACAAAAAAAAAAAAAAAAAAAAAAAAAACCATGAATAATGAACTATATATATTCTATTTCATGCAATAATTTGGGGACGTTATAGTCATTATTTTATATAATGGTCAGGAAAAAGGCCTTGTTTTATATTATTTATACAAAACAATTTAAGCATCCTGGATATTTGCTAAATGAAAGATTAAATCTGTGTAGAATTCGATGCCTTCAAGAAACAGATTTTCATTTATACGTTCGTCATGATCATGTAACAAAATTGGAGTATTTTTTAAATAAGATATTCCTAATGCAGGAATTCCCAATTTACGAAGATATCTCGAATCAGTTGCAGCAGGAAATATTTCTGGTTCAATAGAAATATTTCTGAAAAAAACAGGATAGAATAATTAAGTTAGTAGTACTTTCTTTATATGAGGAAAAACAGAAAGAATAGAGAGAAAAAATCACAGGTTTTAGCTTACCGGCCTTTACAAAAGTCACGTAATACAATCCACCAGATATTATTTTCATTCAATGGAGTGTAACCGTTATCATCAAAATATTGAACATATTCTATTGTAGAACTAATATTAATAGACAAAATATAAACATAGATTTCTTTTTTTTTTTTTTTTTTTAAAAAAAAAAAACAATAATAATAAAAATATTACTCTGATTCTGAATACACATATCCTTCTATTAGATTTTTAAATTGTATTAAATCTACATTTGGAGATATTCTAATGTCAAAACCAGCCGTTGCTTCTTGTGGAATAACATTATACTGAACTCCTGTCTATTTTATATAATAATAGAATATATAATTTACTGGACTTAGTAAATATAATAAGTTGATTCATTACGATTCTTATCAGTTTTTTTTTTTTTTTTATTTCTTACTTTTAATATAGTAAGATTGACGCTTGTTACGTCTCCAAGATTGTATTTTTTTCCACCAGGATGCCTACCAATCAATAATTGACGTTCTTGAGAATCGCGGAGTTCCATGAATTTGTTGATGATACGATTCTAATTTTTAATAACAAAGACTTTTTTTTTAGTCTATGAAAAAAAAAAGAAATGTTTGATTGATTGATGAATTCTTTATTAACGAATTTTTGACAAACCAATTTTACAACGGCAGTATTTTGAATTAATTGAGAGCCATGTCCGGTGTTACCTTTGGTGGTAATATTAATCCACCAAGGAACTCTTTCACCATAAAATACCTTCAAGGCATCATTTGGATTTGAAATCCCTTCATCCAAAGCAAAACCGATATTCAATTTTTTAAAATCTTCTGATTCAACAAAATGACCCATACCGTCCTCTCCACCGATTTCTTCATCTTTTTTTTTTTTTTTTTTATGATGAAATTGATTAAACAAAAATTCTTGATATAAAATATTTGTACTTTACAATTGAGAAATGTATATAATACCGGGAACATAAGAAAGGTGGATTGTACGACATGGCTGCTTATCTTGATCTTGAAGACATCGAATGACTTCAAGATAACTTGCTCCAACACATTTCATATCTTGGGCACCTCTCGCAATTATATCGCCATTTTCAAGTTTACAGGCTTCAAATGGGTCGCAACTCCATTTTTCCTTTTATTTTCCAATGATGTCATTGAATATTAAAATTATTTTACATAATCAACCATAATTTTTAATTATTTTAATTCAGCTATTGATTTTTACATAATTTTTACCTCAAAAACAGGAACAACGTCGGTGTGAGAATTTAAAAGTATAGAGGGTAAAGTAGGGTCACGACCTTCCCATGTCAATAAAACTATAGGTTTTCCTTTAACATACTATTTATAAAAAATAAGACAGTCAATTTTGTCATCTCTTTTAAAGTTATTGCTCATCTACGAACTCAAAAAAAAGAAAAAAGTTTCAACCTCAAAGACTTGTGACTTTAAACCAATTTCTTTTGCTTGTTCTAATAAAAATTTTGTACACGCTTCATAATCTGGATTCGGTTGAACAGTTTTAATACGTAAATACTGTCTAAACCGTGTAACTGCCGGACTTTCAATACTAGTCATTTGTAAATTTCCGATAATTCTTAGATGTAAGAAGAATTAAACAACTTTGCCAAGAGATAATCTACAATTTATGCATGGCTGTGTAACTTCTTTAGTAACACTTGATATTTTTTCAAATATTAGATTCTTTCTTCCCTTTTATGTAATTAAAATGTTACGAAAATTTCCTCTAATTTTTAGATTCTTTAATTCAAGAAAATTGATTTTTCCTCACGGATTCGCAAAATATAACTATTTATCAAATAAATTATTGCAAACTAATACCTTACATGTTACAAAAAGATTTTTGAATCAAAATGAGAAATCAGTTTTTTTACGTGAATTTATTGCAATTCATAATAATACTGGAATTAAACATTGTTGGAAGTGTAATTCAGAGATAGATTTTCGATCTCCTCGTTGTGATAATAAAGAATGTGGTGTTATTCAAGAACCATTATCCGAGGATCTTAGTTATTTTGAAGTGTTAAGAGTAAACGAAGACCGAGATTTGTATGTTAGATCCTTTAATTTCGTTCGTTTATCTCGAATTTTTTATAATTTTTATAATTTTATATATTTTGAATTAATTTTATATAGTACTCCAACCTTTGATATCAATTTGAATCGTTTAAGGAGTTCTTTTTTAAAACTTCAACAACGATTTCATCCTGACAGTTATGGATTTAAGGACTCAGTAAGTACATATAAATACCGACATTTTTTTTTACCAATTTCTCTTTTTTCTTTAAATTTTGTTACCAAAATGTCAATTTTACGTCTTCAATAGTCACTGCTTGATAAAAACATTCTTTAGCAAGAATATACATATGCACAGCAACATTCTGCTTCGATTAACAAAGCCTACCAAGTATTAAAGGATCCACTTTCAAGAGCCCAATACATGGTATATATATTTTATCTTTCTATTTTATTTTATCTTTTTTTTTTTTCTTTTTCTTATTATTTTAAGTATTTTAATTATTTCGTGGATAAATTAAAAAGTTACAATTGAATAACGTCTCAGCAACTGAATCAGAATCTTTGGAAGATCCGGAATTATTGATGGAAATATTAGATATACGTGAACAACTCGAAGAAGCATCTAATGAAAATGAGGTGAAAATAATTCAAAACGAAAATGAAGGTATTAAAAATTATCTTTATTTTATTTTCTTGTAGATTCTATAACTCTGTAGTTGCTTATTTTTATTATTCTTTTTTTTTTAGTTAGGATAAAAAAAACCATAGAAAAATTATCCCATGCATTCAAATCTAATGATTTGTCTCTAGCTAAAGAATTAACTGTGAAACTTCAATATTGGTATAACGTTCGTAACGCTGCTGTTGATTGGGCTCCAGGAAAAAAGATAGAAATTCAACATTAGTTTAAATTAGATTGTATTTTTAATATCTGTATTTATAGGTATATTAAAATTAAATTTACATTTTTTAATATTTCACGAGAAACATTTTATTATGTAAAATAAAAATATTATTATTATTTATTCTTGTCATTATTTCTTCTGCAATTTATTTATTTTATCTTTGTCTTTTTTGGGTTGTTTCTTTTGCGATAAAATTATTTTGTCTTCGTCTTTTTGGGGTTGTTTCTTTTGCGATAAAATTATTTTGTTGTCGTCGTCTTTTTCGGTTGGACGATTTTTTATGGTTTTTTCAATTAAATTAGAATTAATTGAAACATTATTATTCATATCTTCTATAATATGATTTTGATTTGCCTTTACGCCTTTTTTTTTCTTTCCTTTAACATTATTCACATCACTTTTCTTGATCTTTTCCTTTAATTCTTTCCTTTTTTCTGGACTCATCTTTTTGGGCTTATTATCTACAGGTAGATTATTTAAAAATATATGGTCATAATTTTTAATAATATTTGCCTCATAAGGATGATTTTCATCTGGAAAAATTTTTAATCTTTCTAATCGAACATCTCTTAATCGATTTTTTGGTAACATTCCTGAAACTGCTTTTCTGATAATCTTATAAATTTGAAAAAAAAAACTTTAAAATACATATATATATATATATATAATTTGTAAAAATTAAAATAATTAAAAATTATTTATACCTCCGTAGGATTTTTTTTCATCATTGTTTTATAGGGAATAGTTTTTAAACCTCCGGGGTATCCAGAATGACTACGATAAACCTTTTGTTCTTCTTTTTTACCTGTTACCATTATTTCTTTAGCATTGATTACCACGACATAATCTCCACAATCAGCTTTTTTTTTCAAATAATAGAAAAAATGAATTTTTATTTCTTGATAGACGAAAAAAAAAAAAATAAATAAATAAAAATTATAATAATATCATTATTACATGCAGGATCATAAATGGGTTTATGTTTCCCTGTCAAAGTTGTCGCAATTTTAGTTGCCAAACGGCCTAATATACGTTGTCTGGCATCTACCAAATGCCAAATTCTTGCATAAGCAAGACCAGTCTGTCTTTAATAAAAATGATATGATATGTTATTTTGCTTAAATTAAATCACTAAAAAAAGAAAATTAAGAAAATTTAATAAAACATGTTATTACATTGCCGATAGATAAAGACATGAATTTGATAATTGATTATCACTAAACACTTTTATTCATTACAAATTTTGATTGGATGATATTTTTTGTGTTGCGATGGATTATAAAATGTAAACAGTTATCCTTTTATAAAAAAAAAATCCTTATTATGGTTAGTGGTGTTGCTTCATCGTCTCGTGTTTATTATTATATCTTTAACAATATTCAAAAATCATATAATTACCAAACTAGTATAACTATCAAATCAAAAACTCGCAAATTCTAGTTAACATTAAATATAAATTTAATACGATATCGATATATAAGAAATAGAACTCCTCCAATAATGAGACACACAATATTAATCCAATTGATCCACCAACCAAGTAGCTTTTTTATTGTAGCATTATTCACTGAATTTTCAGCGGATTTTTTTTCCACATTAGTCATATGATTATAATCTAAAAGAAAATCGATCGTATCATTTTCATTTATTTCGATCCCGTCGCTATTATTTATGGGGGTATTACACATTATAATTGCTTCCCAAAGAGTCTTCTCATCGTTACGTATGCATAAGTGCCTGAATATATATATCTATCTGACCCGATTGCTTGATCACTAACATGCAAGAATGTTACGTTTATAATATATGCTCCATTTACTAGTGCAGTAAATTTAGCAACGGAAAAACCATTTTCAATAGTGCCGATGTGCATACAAACACCGTGAGTAATGAAAGTTTCATTGCTGCCATAATCAAAAAAAAAAAAAGTAATTGTAATAAATACCTAAATAATCATTACTCCAAGTATTGTTTTCCTTAAACCAAGCAACCAGTTTACTATTTTTTGGGTCCAACGATAGTTTTGTAAACGCGTGAATTTTCCATTTAGTAGGTGACCCGATTTTGAACCATAAGACCACGTAGAGTTAGGGTTTTGCATGGAAGAATCTGCACTCAGCCACCGTCTTTGGATATTAATGTTCTATTTGTAACACCACAATAGATTTCATCATTAAATATTTTGATCAATGGTAAAGCAATTCAGTTTTCTACAAACTATATTGTGAAACAAAAACTGCACTATAATAATTATAATCTTTTAGGATTAGGTTGAAATATTTTGATAAGAGTCTTATGACCTATGAAATTTGATCAGTGTTCGTAAAAAACATCTGTTTTGTTGATCATTTTATTACATAATATGACAGAAATTTGTATTCATGATCATGATCATCTCTGCTCTTTTAACTCTTGCTAGATTTTAACTAAAAAGGGCGAACTAATATGATATTTAGTAATTAAAAATGTAATTCATGTTAAAATTAATATTATAACTTAATGTTTATTTCTTTATTTCAAAAATAAAAATGTAAGTAAAAATAATAAACTTTACTAATAAATAATCAAAGAAATATATGTAAATTATTATCTATTCACTATAAAATAATTATGTACCGTATACTTACATAAAAATGAAAATTTCTGTGCTTTGTGATTTTTAAGTTTCTACTTCGTTACCTAAAGCACTGCTCGCTGGCACTATGAAGGAAGAAAGAAGCTAAAATTGAGAAAAAAAAGTGTGAAAAATATTTATGTCGGTGATCTACTGTATATAATATTGTAGTATACGGAATTATAGTATAGTATACGGAATTATAGTATAGTATACGGAATTATAAATGTTTTAAGACATTATACACCCTGAAGACGAACAAAATCGGAAATATCAAAGACAGGTAAAGAATTGGCTTCAAATAAATTTGCCACACAAATAATAATAATTATTATTATTATGTCTTGCATTATGTGGCTGGCTTGATATTATTTCAAAGCCTCAAATCATAAGATCCGAGAAACTGATATTGCAAACTAGCCAAAAATTATTTCTTTTTTCTTAATGAATGGAATGAAAAATTTTCAATTTATAAATTTATTTTTACATATATATAATAACACTATTAACACTATACAATATTTATAATTTATGAAATAATAAAAACCAAAAAAAAAAAATATATAAAAACTGTACATTATAAAGAAAGAAAAATGACAACTAGACCTTCATCGACGCAAAGACCGGGATTCACGGTTGTAGTTATTGATCATTCTGCTTTACCTCCTCCACCACCTCCACCCAATTGGTAAATATAAGTAAATTTTGATTTATAGTAGATTATTCATTTTTATTTTATTTTATTTTTTATTTTTATTTTTTATTTTAATTTTAATTTCAATTTTAGGCCAAGATGTTATCCTATAATTTATCACGATATCGAAACAGATTTTGGGGAGGAAAAGACAAGGAAAATGCTAAGGAGATCTTATCTTCTTTTTAAATGTAAAACAAAACAAAATAAAATTATGTCAGACCAAACATATAATTATATAATCATATAATAATTGACAAACGAACACATGAAAAAATAAACTAACCCATCTTTCTTTTTTTATAAACAGTTTACGTTGCAACATTAGTTGCATATTCAATTGCTAACATTGTCACTGCAATTACTTTTGGTGATGCAAATGAAATTATTATTCAAGTTATCACATCAATTTTATATTTACTGATACTGCCGATTGGAGATTTTTTAGGAAGGCATTTAAGTCTTTATTTTGGTTTCAAGTAAATATTTCCTAAATGCAACTTATATATATATATATATATATATATATATTTATTTATTTATATTTATTTATTTACTAAATATTTCTTTTAATAATGATGATAATTATGACAGAACGAATCTTGTAACGATGTTTAGATATTATTTCTTCGGGGAAGCAATAGTATTTTTTTTTATTTTAATTGTTTCTATTGGATTTCTAAATATTCAAAATGAAGTTGGTGTAGTGAGATTACTTGAAAATGAATTTTATGTTGCGGCTGTTTTCACTTCTATATTTTTACTTTTTGCAATTGTTCAAACAATTTTACATATTATATTGATCTTTCAGGTATATCTATATAGTGTATATTTATTTAAGATAATTATTATTTATTTATTTAAATTAATTAATTTTTAAAAATTTTTAATTATTATTTAGGTATATAAACATTTTCGTGACCAGGATTTTCGTATTTGTCCATGTTAAAAGAATATCGAATCAACAATCTTCACATGCTAATAACAAATATATTTCTAAAATACATTTTGATGATACATATAAATAAATATATATATATTATCATTTAATATTAATTATGGAATATAAAATAAATTTATTAATTCCATTAATTCCGTGTTATTATAGTGACTTTGTAGATAATTCTTACAGCCCCCTATAAACTGTTGCATTTTCAATTCAAAATGTTTATTTACATAACAATTATTGAATTGTTTAGAGCATATGTAAATAGAATTTTTACAGAAATTCATCTGCTTTTTTTTTTTGATCAATTTGTCTGTTCCTTGTCCCTAGTTTTCAAGACCGTAATTGTATTAATGAAGCTTTTTGCTTACAGTGTTTGTAGCTCTCAATGACGCTAGCTTAAATAAAGTTAAGAATGTTCATTCGAGCTTTGTTTCACATTTTTTCTATTTGTTATTAATTCTTTTTTTAGTATATTTTACATTTACTGAAAAAAAAAAAATCCGAAAATAATTATCAAACGTTGTCACATATGTATTAAAAGTTTATTTTTTTACTAATGAAACAGTAAAATAAAATAATTCTAATTTAGAAGTCTAATATATAGTGCGTCTGCTATAAAAATTTCGGACCCATTGAGCCTAAAAGTAATGGTTAAAGTTTAAACGTTCGAAAATTTTTATATGAAATTCAACTGTCTGAACTTTTTTTGATAGATAATCTGTAGTATTGTTAGTAAATAGTAAACTTATAGTTTGTACAAACGGGATAGGCGACCATGTCGTGTAAAGCTTTTCGTGTACCACAATTGGATATGAAAAAGGTTTTGTCCAATTTAGGAGTGAACTAGATGATAAACGGATAGTATTCTAAATATTATACCATTCTTCTATTACGATTTGGAATCCTTAAAATTAATTTTTTCATGAATTTTTTAGTCTAGTTAATTATGAAAATTTCTTGGGGTTTTTCGTTAATACGTATTCTAATTCAAGTGTTACAATCACTGAAGCACTTTCTGACACGTATTACATTTGCGAGGGCAACTTTTAGGTCGGGCATTAGTGGTAAAATTATTTATTTTCTTTTTTTGTTTTCGTCATATGAATTTAAAAGTATTGAGGAAAATATCAGACATCGTATTAGGGAATAACGAGATTGCGCGTGTCAATCAAGACTTAATTATATATATTATATGTAAATGTATGCAGATCATTAGAAAAAAATATTTATTCAAATGCGATATTATCTTTTATATTGCTGTTTACATTTATATGTTATTTCATTCACATATATCTTGTTTGACGAATATATGTGTAATCAAGAATAATCAAGAATATTAAAAGAATATTAAAAGAATATTAAAAGAGAATAATTCAAAGAAAATCAATTGGGGTTTTATGAAAACACTAATTAATTTAGTTACATGATTGCATTTTATAATTGTTGTTGTTGTGTGTAATGTATTTATTCTTTTTAATAGCTTGCAATATACAATAATTTATTATTTATTATTAATCTTGACTTTCGTTTTGGACTTGATTCTCTTGATTCTTTGGATTTTCGGGTCTAAAAATAATATAATAATAATAATAATAATACGAAAATAAATAATAGGTATCGATGTACAGTCTACAATTCATTGTTCACATGTTACATACGAAGTTTTCCAGCGTTCAGCGACTGCTCTAAAAGCAGTTTTATGATCCATTGCTGGGTTTTCAGCCTTGATTTTTGGAAGTTCTGTTTGCATGAATCTATTATACGGTCTGAGAACTTTTCCATCTATAATAATAATTACAAATAATTTTAAAATAAATATAAATAAAAATTATCTATATATATATATATATATATAAATATATATTTATATGTATTTATATTTACTTTTACTTTTCTTTTTAACAGTCATTTCATTATTCTTTTCAATTTTCTTTTCAGTTTCCTTTTTATTATCAGTAGTCTTGATTCTCGATTTTGATGTTGTGGTAGCACCGACAGTTTTACCCATTTTTAATTTTGTCTTGGAATATAATAGTAAAAAGAGAAATTTACTTATATATTGATAAAATGGATAGATTGATATATATGAATATATAGTAGAGAGATAGAGAGATCGAATGTGAGTAAAAATAATGAACCAAATATGTCAATTATAATAATTTGAGAGATACAGAAGAAAGAGAAATATAAAATTTACTCTCTTTAATCGCATCATTATTAACTTAAATCTATTCTTTACTTTATGATTATAACCTTGATTGACTACTAAAGTTTTTATTAATAGTTTTTTAATTAATAGTTTAATAGTCTTACAATAGTTCTTAAGTATGGTGACATGACGTAATTCAATTAATATAAATATTAAGTATGGTGACATGACGTAATTCAATTAATATAAATATAAACTAATGTTAACCTTTGCGGTGGAAAATGGAAGTATTTTTGTTTAATTTCTTTTTATTTTATTAAATTCTCTGTTTTAATTATCTTTACATATTTCTTTTACATTTCACTATTCTTTCCTTTATTAGCAATAACTTAGTAACAAAGCTTTCTTTTTCATGCAAATCATTTAACCTTATTTGTTTTTATTTTGATTTCCCAGACTAGAATTCATTAAATTGTTTTTAATAATAAATAATAAATAATATCAATCTTATCTCAGGATCGATACCATTTTTTGGTTAACGTTAACGTTATCTTTTTGTTCTTTAATTTATTGTTGCTATTGTTGCTGATTTATTCTCAATCTAAGTTATCGATTCGTGCAAAAATTTTATCATTGTTAAAATTGTTTAATATTGAAACGTTAGTACGGATAAATATATGATTTGGCATTTTATATCATCATAATTACGTTTTTTCTTGGATATAATATAGATAATAATAGGTGCACTTTGGCAAATCATTTATATCATTTACTTATATGAGCCACCATACGACATACATATTTATTCACCATATTCGGATCATTTTTTATCTTGTGTGTATATGTAATTTCTAATATGAATAACATTTCAAGCATTGTCCTTCGTCACGCAAATTCCCCTCTAAAATAAATAAATACATGATATTTTGGATATTCAGGAGTTATTTTCTCATCTTGTTTGTCTTGTGAGTTTTTTTTTTTTTTTTTTTGATAAATTCTTTAAATTCTAGAAAATCTCAATAAACTAAAAAAAAAAATTCGAATTCAAATGACTTCAAAAATGAGTTCTACTTATAGTACCCAAACGTTAAATAAAAATATTACGCCTGATAAGCGTGTTCGACCTCTTATTCCTCTTAAAACTCACTTATCTAATCTTCTTGATAGAACAAAAATTCATGCTGTCTCTTTAGATTATGAATATAATTCTACTTCAAAAAATTTAGTTTTGGAACGAATGCAATGTCGTCATGGTCTGGTAGCTGCTATCCTTCAAGCTTACAATGGTCATCAACATTTGCTTCTCTCTCCTGATGATATTTGGCTTACAATTTCACAGGGTATCAGTCAACACATTTATTTTAGTACTGACAAATGTAAAGATAGATTTTATAAAAAGAAAAGAATTACGATATTTAATGAAAGTATTTTGAGTGTCGATCCAGAAACGAAATGTCTTGTAGGTGATTGGCCCGAATGCATTCGTCAATTCATTACCTCAACTGACAAACAAATAAAAAAACTCGAATTACAATCTTTATTAAATTGTAATTTTTCTACTAGTACTCAAAGTTCTATTATTTCTAGTAGAGTTGTTTTATTAAATTCTGCCAGTAATTATTATCCTTATAACATTCACGTTTTCTGTGGAATTCCAAAAGTTACTTTAACGGGAACATTAAATGATTGGCTATGTATTCAAGAAAAGTTAGTTCAACTTCGAAAATTTTCACTTGGTTTAAATCCTTGGTTTGACCTTCTTGATCCAATTATCTCTAAATTTATTGAAACTTATCGTGGTGAAGTTGATGAAGAATTTTGGAAAGGAATTGCTAGAGAAGATTATGGATGTGGTGGACCACCAGAATTAACAGGTTGGGTAACAGCATTTTTTCCTTACGATAGTTTTGGAAATGTAATTGATGATTGGCTTGATGAAGCGAAATTACCTGAAGGAAGAGTTTATATTCCATTTGATGTTGAAAGTGGTCAAAAAATGAAATTTGTATCAGGATTTTTGGGTGTAAATCAAAGAGTTATTGAAAATTCTGATGGGGAAGTTGTAGTTTCACCTTTAATTGGTTGGGCAGTTATTGATGAAAGTAAAGTTTCATTTGATGCACGTAAACAATATAGACATATTTTATGGTAATATGGATATATTATTTATTTTTATAATCTTTATAATTTTTTATTTAGTATTATATTTTGAAAAAAATGTAAATATCTTTTAATTACACATTTTATGTAAAAATAATAATATATTCAAAATATTTAATGTTGATTAATTTGTATTTTAATAAAAAGAACAATGATGATTATTTTATTTCTAAAATAAAAAATGTGTCACATTACTGAAACAAAGTTCATTATATAAGAATTATGCCAAAAATATTACAAAGGCAAACTTGATAAGTCGGTCTCTTGATAAGTCGGTCTTAACCTAATTCGGCCAAATTTTTATAGCCGTTTTTTTTATAATTAAAAATTTTTGATAAGTCGGTCTATCATATAAAAATCGCGATAAAGCCTAAGTCGGCAGCTATCTTTATATTAAATATATCGCGATAAGTCAGTTTTGATCACGTGTTCACGTTATAATAATAAAATTAGATCATCGAAATCGAAGCTATCGGAATGAAACACATATCATTTTGTATTCAAGAACAAGGCCTTTCTTTCTATCTTAAAAATATCTTAATAGAAAATCGTTCTTCTCTTTATAAATCTCGAGCGAAGTCGAAAAAAAGTAAAAATTTCCGGAGATTTTCACGTTTTTTCAGCTTCGCTCGCGATTTATAAAGAGTAGAACGAATTTTCTATTAAGATATTTTTAAGATAGAAAGAAAGGCCTTGTTCTTGGATACAAAATGATATGTGTTTCATTCCGATAGCATCGATATTCGCGGAGTTATTAGAACGCCTTTATATAATTCCTGATGTAGTAAACCTTGATAACTTGGCCGGCTGACTTATCAAGAATTTTGATAACACGGTCACCTCGATAACTCAGCCACAAGAGCTCAGCTATCAGTGGACGACTTATCAAGTTTGCCTAAGTATGCCAAAAATATTATGCTATAAACTAGGTAATTCATAATTATGCTAAAAAATATTATTCTACAACTAGGTAATTCATTATGATTATAATATTTTTTCATATTGAATACCTTTTTTTACTTTTTTTTTTGTAGAGTTTCCACTTCTTTAATACTTTGGTCAAAATAAATAAATTGTCTTCAGTGACTATAAACAATAATATAATATCTACGTTGTTATTTATTTATTATTGTTTATTGTGTAATATTAAAAATATATTTATTAACTAATAAATTTTTTTATATTTATAATTTATTTATAATTTATTCTATTTTATGAATCTAATTATTTTTTATGCTCCAAAATATTGAGTAATAAATTCTTTCATCGTCTGCAATCGAATTATACATAACATCAATGTTTCATACATCCTAAGTTAAATTTAGAAAAATTATTTATCTTTATTACCTATTTATTTACGGAATTTACGGAATTCTAAAATTTTGGTTATTTATTGGTTCTTTAAAAAATTGTGATAGAATTTTCTATGGAAAAAAGGAACAAAAATGTTACGTCATTTTTATCCTTAAATAGAAGAACATATGAGAAGTGTCTTCAAACTTCATTAAAGGTTTGATGCACCTATTTTCATTGTGAGACAAACAGTGGTTCTTTGTGAAAACATAGATAAAGAGTGTGAATTTTATCGTTCCCTCTCTCGTTACCTATATCATTCTCTCTATTAATATTCTTTATCAACCATTCTCTATTATTCTTGATTTTCTTATTGTAAACTATCACTTAACAACATGTCTGATCTTCTTATCGATGTCCAAAGTTTACAAAGTTTAATGAGTCTTTTGGCCACTAGTGCCGAGGCCACTGTTGAGCCAAAGAATCAAAATGTTCGTTTTGTTGAAAGTATTAACCTCAAAGGGTATATGGACAAGTCTTGTAGAGGATGGATATTAAACATCAACAAAACTACGAAACATATGTTACGTTTAGATGAGGTTAAAAGTCAGTTACACGCGAGTACTAAAGCTGAAGAGGTTGACGCCATTGTTCAAGCATTAAACAATAGTGAAATGGACCCAGATTACGAACGAGATACTTATCCGATTGGAACGGTAATCCAGATATTAACACGATTGTTGGCGTATTCACTTCAATTTAAAAGATGTATGTCATCTTCACCAGATAGTCGCCTTACTTCAGCTGTCGTTGCTGTGTCAGATTACAGACGTGCTCAGATTGATCTTTCAAATCCTTTCACTACGGTAGAGTGGAGAACTTTAATATCAGAATTTTTGGAGAAAAGTCAAACTGTGTTACGATTATCTGTAAATCCGTATGTACATGAACTTGTTAATTTTTAACAACTATAAATTATTTCACTGTTACTAACATTCTAAATATAAATACTTCTATTTTCTTCTATTTACAGTTTCAGCAATCCGACGGACGACCTTAAAGCGTAATGTCTCATCTTTCATGATATTAATTTGCTGGTTCCTATCAATTTTTACCTTTTTTATTTATTTATTTATTTTTTATTTTCACAGTATTCTTGTAGGAAGTTCTCCCTTCCGAGTTACTGGTGGCGGTATACAACCATTAGACACTGAAGCCACCTATGCAGAAAATCTTTATCGTCAAGCATCAGGACAATATAAACTCTTTAATGGAGCAAGCCACAGAGATGCGAAATTTATCCAATTCGGATTCAAGGAGTATGTGCGTCATAGAATTCCAGTAAAAAGGGTCAGCAATGGGGCATATTGTTGCTATATGGACCCTCTAAAGAATGTTTATTACTTTACAACCATTTCTTTCGATCCATTTTACTTCAATGTCCTAAAAAACCTTCTCATTCATGAAATTGTTACTGGAAAAGCTGCATACATTCATACAGCTGTACAATTATGCATGAGTATGTGTACATGTGAAGAGGATTTCAAGCTAATGAATGAATACGGTATTATCCAGTGGGACTTTCCAATGGAAGGTTACGAATCATTCCGTGAAAAGATGAAAGAGTTATTGGATGTTATGTGTTGTTGGAAATTTTTGAATACCTTGAATTGGCACACTGAAATGGTCAAGATTGCTCGTCATAAGGATAAAATAAATGATACATCCAACTGGAATGACTTTGCAGCCACTTGTTATTCTGGTGGTGTATTGAAGAAAGAATTAGATACAGTAATATACAAGAATCTTTCTTAAACAGGTAAACATTTCTATTCGTTCATTTGATCGCTCCGAAATCTTCTTTAGCTAAAGGTGAAATACTAAATATGATGAATCGTTACATATTTTATTTTTATTTATTTTACAGGTTTCATTTTTTTTCAATTCATCACTTAAATCACTGATTTGAAAGAGATAATTGTTATTTGTTATCTGAGATTTTCACTTGACAAAAGTCTTATTATTTCATATCATAATATATATATCTCTCTTATCCCATATTAAATGCAATGTATACATATCATATAATTATATAGAAAGACATATTTAATCAAATCATAATATATTTAATTATTTTATATTTTAATAAATTATTTTTTATTACTTGGAAAAAAATTTTTATTTAAGGAGAAAACTTAACCTGGACCGGGGGGTCTAGACCTTCCGTTAAATGCATGGATTAGAATTAGGGATTGACTACCATTTTTACCATGTAAAAAGGCTTAGGTTCCAGCAGGCAATGTTTTCTCCTACCTAAATATCAATTACATAGTAATAAAACATCAAAATAATTATTATTGTTATCAATAAAGTTATAATTTATTACCTTATAACGAACGATAATTATATTTTTAGAGCCATTATAATAACACGTGATCTTGAAATTATATGATTAAAATTAGATACTAATCATGTGTAATATATTAAAAAATCTATTTTAAAACTTTAGATAATTTGATTGAAATTTTAAATTAGATTAGGATCGGAACCACTATATAGAAAGAGGATAGATGCGCATCGCCGATCAATGACGATAAAAAATAATTTAGGATATATGACGTAACGTGCTCAAAATAAAGTGATATAACTTATATCATATAAGTGATATAAATAATTATGCATTGTTTTGTTTTATTGAATTGTATATTATTATTATGCTACATATATGAAGAAAATAAATTAAAAAAATTCTATTAAAAAAAAAATAAATTATTATTATTCACCCCACATGAAATAAGGTTTCAATTCTTTCGTGACATCATCCAAAATGGTTTCTATATCAGTTTTAATTGTATAAGTACAAAGTAATTGCTGTAATTTAAAATGTAACAATATCAAATTATTTTCAGAAAATGATGACGACGACGAGGTGGAAAAAGTGTCATTGGGATTTGTATATTTCGAGACTACTATAGCTTCATTATCTATTAAAAATAATATAATCAAATTAATTAATTAAATTTCATTTCATTTCATTAAAAAAAATAATTAATTAATTTAATTAAAATAATTTAAATAAAAAAAAAAAAAAAAACTCACTTATAATTTCAACCACACGAAATTTTCCTTGTAATTCGTGATCACCGAATTCAAATCCGTAAAAACTATTATTATTTAATCCATTCTCTAATCGTTGTTTAATAATTTCCACGTTATCAATTACTAATTCACCAACAATTTCTTCATTTCTTTCGTGAACCATTTTTGTCCAAAATCCAGCAAATTCTTGGGTAGTCATTTGTATAGGTTTTAAATGTTTCAATATATTCGTATTTTTGTTTTCTATTTTCATTTTCATTATTTTTATTATTATTTTATTATTATTTATAGATTATTATTATTGTTATTAGTTTTATTTTATTTTATTTTTTTTTAGAAAAAGTGAGAACAAATATTTAATAATATTTACCATTGCTACTACTGCCTAATTTCAAATTTGCAATATCGTGTTGAATGTCCGAAACCACATTTTTACGTGGAGATCGTATTTTTGATGACTGTACACAAATTATAGAGAATTATAGAATCCGAGAGAATCAGATAGAATTAATGAGCAAAATTAGATGAATTTGATAATAATTGGAATAATTAAAAAAAAAAAATAATTACCAAATTCCTTCGATGATGCGAATTATTAATATTACTATTATGACTTTCAGAAAATAAGGAGGAAGAGGAAGAAGTGGTGGTAGTGGGTGAGATAGTGGTAGTGGGTGAAGTTATAGATGGAGGAGGTATAATTATTGATCCTCCTCCTCCCCCAACACCACTAAACAAGGCAGAAGCTAAACGTTCTTTTTCTGAAATTATAACCGATTTTGTATTTATTGAAGTTGTAGCTACTGCCTATTTTTATTATTATTAAAGAAATAAATGTTATCGTTTCGTTTCTTTATCACGTTTTTTTCTTTAACAAAAATTTTTTACCTTTTTTGATGTTCTCAAAAGGGGATTATTCGATGGTAATAATGATAGTGAAGAAGGGGAAGAAGGAGAAGAAGTAGTATTCAACTCACTTCAAATTAGTGTAAAATAAAGATTAGAGTAGATAAGTAAATAATAACACTAATTAAAGAGACATAATATAAATAAGAATTGTTGATAGTTACCTGTAATTGGGATTAACTGATGATGAATTCGGAGGTTTTCTGAAAAATAAAAAATAATATCAAAAAAATAAGTAAAAAATAAATAAATAAATAAAAATATAATATATTCGATTCTTACTTTGAAGCTTCTTGGTTTGCTTTATATCCTTCTCGACTCCAGTTTTGACTTGAAAATTTTAATAATTTAGGAGAAACCACAGATTTTCTAATATCAAATATAACACAATATATGAGATAATGTATTACAATGTAAAAAATATTAAGAATATATAATAATTTACCTTGGATCATATTCTTCATATTCATCAACAAAAGAATCTTCAACTCTTTCTCCATCATAAACACCACCACGACCACCACGACCACCACCACGACCACCGCCACGATCACCAACACCACCACCACGATCACGACTATGACCACCACCACTAAGTAATAATGGATTTTCATGTGAACTGGATTTTAATAAATTAGTACTGCTACTAATACTACTACTACTATTATTATTATAATTACTCAATGAATTTTGGGTAAAATTTAATAAAGAACTAATAGTGTTAGAAAGTTGACGACGAAGAGGAGGAGGAGGAGGAGGAGGGGAAGGATTTAACAAAGCTAATTGACCAGGTGACGATGGTGATGGTGATGATGATGGTGGTGGTAATGATGAATGAGAAGAAATGCTAAGATCACTTTTGTTAAAATCATTTTTATAACTAAAAGATGATAAATTCTTGTCTATAAGTGAAAAACTAGTATTGTTGTAATGAGGAACGAATAATGATTTTGAATAATATTTATTATTATCATCATCAGGTTTTTCGTAGGCTTCATATCTTATTTTTAATTCTATAAATAAAATAAGCATTAATAATATTTATTATTAATATTATATTATTATTATTAATTATTCTATTGTTTATTATTTATTTACCTGAATTAGTTTCTTCGCGAGTGATTAATATAGGGTTATAAGGTTTAGCTCCGTTCTTCAAAGCTTCTTCTACAAAATCATTCAAGAACGACAATGGTTCATCGACCTTTAAATCATTAACATTATTATTATTATTATTTCTATATTAAAATGTGATTAAAAAATATAGATATAAATTTATTAAAAATAATCACCTTGAAATCATCTTTTGAAATTGGTTTAAATACATTATCTAACAATACTAAATTACTTGATAAAATTATAAACTCTCGACCTCTCTAAATTAATAAATAAATAAAAATTTAAAATTTAAACAAACAAACAATATTCTAAATATTCTCAACAATAATTGACACAAACCTGCCTAACATCACCAGATGATGATTCAGTACATTTGGTGACAGCCTTTAATACTTCATCAGGGCAATTCTTTGTTCTTGAAACACATTTTAATAATGTTGTTATTACTCGAGACTGGATTTCACGGTTGGCTTTTATTATTATTATTATTATATTTTTTTTTTTTAAAAAAAAAATCAATTTTCCAAAAATTAAAATTAATTATTATTGAATTGAATTGAATGAAATTGAATCTTTAAATTGTTACCATCTTCTTCTTGCATCATTAAAAATTTACACATTTTATTCATAATTTCCTCTTGATTTTCAATATAATTTGAAAATTCTCCTATTATCTATTATTATTAATTTAAATATTTTAAATTTAATAAAAAATGATATTTAATATTTAATTATTTTAATGCGTTATACGATCACTAACCCTAAGAGACCATAACAATAAATTTGTAGGTGATTCATCATTTGAATTTTCTAATATTTTTATTGCTTCGGATATCGCAAATTTTCCCATTTCCTGATATTTTCCATTATCATCACCTTCCTCGCCACCTTTTTCGCCATCTCCATCACCCTCTTCACCACCAGAATCTATAAAACAATAAATATTATTATTATTATAAAAATGAGACAAATTTCTGAATAAATAAATAAATAAATATAAATTACCCTTGGAAATAATCTTAAACACATTATCAATCGTCTCTCTTTCTAATAAATTACCCGCTAATACAAATGTTGTAATAACAGTTTTTATGAACCATTCAGAACTTTGATAAAATGTGTAGTAAATGTCAAATGATAAAATTATTATTATTATTATTTAAAGTTAAGAATATATAATAAAAATATTATAAAGAGAGAGAGATATATAAAAAAAAAATCATAATTATATTATAACATAAATAAATAAATATGTATATATATATATATATATGAAAGGATATTTTCCGGATATTTCAATAATTCTATTCACCAATAATTTACGTGAAAATTTATCAGTTATTAAAGTCTCACGTAAAGCATTAATCATATTTTCCACGATGACAACCACATTTTGTGAATTCACCATTTTATAAAGAAGATCTAAAACTTTCTTTCTTAAAGAATCATCTTTCTCTTCTAAACATTCCACAATTATATTCATTTGTTCTTCTCCCCACCATTGTCCTTCCATCCACCAAATTGTATCTATCTCTGATAAACTAATTAAACCTAAATATTTAAGATTATTATTACGAGATTTTAAAAATCGAGTAATGATTTTTAATGGATTTAAATGTGGTGATTTATTAACTATTGTTGATAATGCTTGAGGATGTAACATTGAAATTGCTCTTATACATTCAAAAGTAATTGCTAATAACATAATATAATAAAATATAAATTAATTAAATATATAAATATATAAATATAAATCTAAATCTAAATTATGTAAATATTAATTAATTAATTAATTAATAATTTCATTACCATAAGCAGAATCTACTCCAGTTTCAACTTTTTTTAGTGTATGAATGATTTGTGGTACAACTTCCATGCTTATTCTATAATAGAAATGAAATGTCATATGAAAATAAAAAAAAAATCATGAAATAGAAAATAATAAAAAAAAAATTATAAAAATAAATAATACTTTTCATCATCTTTTGCCAATAAACCCATAATTTCGATTATTTTCATTTGAATCCAAGGAGCTGGTAAACCATGATAATCATAACTAATTGGTAACCATTTATCTATTACTTGTTCCAAAATATTTATAAGAATTGGAACAAGATCTTTATATTTATTTGGATCCACTTTAACGAAATCAACATAAAGACTTAATATTGCACTTAATATCTCTGGTTCCTTTTCTGTTAATATTTGACGAAATTTTTCATCTAAATGTTTAATTAAATCTGGAGATTCATGAAATAATCTTTGAAAAACCATGATGGCTTTTTTCTTGACTAGATAACTTATAATTTCATAACAGATAAAATAAATTAAAAGTTAATTAAAAAAAAGTAGAGTAGAAATTAATATATATATATATAATGTATAATATTAAAGAATTAAAATAAATAATACTTTTTATGTGTTAATTTTTCCTCTACAAGTTTCAAAATTGCAGGTATTATTTCAGGATTTAATACATGACATAATGCTGTCAAGGCTGAACATATTTCTAAATAATTATTACTTTGAAGATCCTAAAAATTTAACTGATATTTTATTATTGATATTTTTTTTTAATAAATATAATAAAAAAAAAATAAATATATAGATAGATAGAGAGAGATATATATATGAAATTTTATGAAAAAAAAATTTTTTTTTTTTATTTATATTTTTAAAAAAATATAATTTAATTAAATTACCTTTTGTAAAGTATTAATTAACATTATACTAAGTTCATGAGTTTCATCCAAAAATAAAGAACATGCAAGGTAACCTAATAATCATTATTTGTTATTGGTTGTTGTCAAATACCCAAAATCAAAAATAAATATATAAATCAAAAAAAATAAAAAAAAAATAAGAAATAAATTCAAAAATAAACAATTCTCAATAAGAACAAATAAATAAATATAACTCACCAACACGTTTTTCCCATAACCCTTTGGCACTTTGAGCCAATTTTACTGCATGAATATGACCAAAATCCACATTATGTCCCAATATGTCACAATAAATTAATCTTGTTATATAATCTTTAATTTTGCTCTTTATTTTTATTTTTATTTTTATTTTTTTTTTTAAAAAAAAAAATTGTAAATGTTACAAATATAATTTGAAATAAAATATGGGAATCCAATTTTATAAAACAGCACTCAACAAAAAAAATTGTAAATACTGTAATTTACAGAAGGAAGGTCTGGATAATTTAATTTGATTTTGAGAGAAGCAAGTTCTTCAGTGACATGTCGATCTTCCTCCTTTTAAATCATCATCAACATCATCATCATCATCATTATTATATTATTTTGTATGATGTATTTAAATATGTTGTTATTGTATTGTGTGTGCGTGGAATTCACAGAATTAGCAGAATTAGAAAATTTTCATTAAAATATTTTACAATGCTTAAATATTAAGTAAAAATCCATAATAACAGAATTCCTACCTGTTTACTTCTAGCGTCACCCACTTTATTAACAAACTCATAGAATCCACGACTTAAACCTGATGTTAGAAAATCGGGGTTTAAGAGTGTCGGTATTTGCGATGACATAATTAATTTTCTTCGAGTCAAAGGGGTGACGTCTTAGATCATCACCAGTTATATCCCATCCAATTTATCATGTGATATTCAATAAATATACAAAATAATATTTTTCTTCAATTGATATAATTGATATATTTTGCATTATGATAATTTTATACACAACTCTTTATTGATAATGTTTATATCAATGACAATATTTAATATTTTAAAATAATAAAAATTGAAAATAAAAATTGAAATGAAAAATTGAAATGAAAATTGAAATAATAAAAATTGAAAATAAAAATTGAAATGAAAAATTGAAATGAAAATTGAAATAATAATTTAGATAAAAAAAAATACATTATTATTTCCATCCCTTAAATCCCTTCCTTTTCCATCCCTTAAATTTCTTTCCCTTCCCTTTCCATCCTTTAAATTTATGATGTTTCTTATGTTTATGTTTTTTACCCACCAAATGACCTAATGCACCTCCACCCACTAAACCTAAAGCTGCTGAACTGAGAAGACCTTTATCTGCTTGTTTATCGTGTTTATCATGTTTATGTTGTTGTTGACCTGGAAATCCTCCTATTCCCCCTTTTTTTGAATCAGGAGCATGAGTAGTTGCCGGATAATTTGAAGGTTGTGGATATGCAGAAGGATAATTTGAAGGTTGCGGATAAGCTGGTGGATAATTAGATGGTTGTTGTCGTTGTTGAGGTGGATATTGTGATGGTGGATATGGCGTAGCTACAGGCATGGGCGGATATGCACTTTGTGTTGGTGTTGGAGAAGAATGAATTGGTGGTCCGGGGGGATATGCACTTTGTGTTGGTGTTGGAGAAGAATGAATTGGTGGTCCGGGAGGATATGCACTTTGTGTTGGTGTTGGAGAAGAATGAATTGGTGGTCTGGGGGGATATGCACTTTGTGTTGGTGTTGGAGAAGAATGAATTGGTGGTCCGGGGGGAGGAGCTACGGATTCATTTGGATGATTCCATTGAGTAGTACCAGTTGGCGTATCTATAAAATTATCCAAAAAGATTTATTCATATTTTAATTATCTTTCGTATTATATTATTATTTAAAATCCCTGTTAAAGAACATTACTTAAAAACGTTATTAAAAAAAACATTATTGGAAACTTCAATCGATACATACAGACATAATAATAATTTTGACTATTTGGGTCAAATTGAGAGATCCAACCTGGTGGCAAAGGTGAAGAAGTTGGATTCATTTTTTTCTTGAAGAAATGAAATTAAATTCATCGAGTTTTTAAAATCAGTTTTACTACATACATATAAAATAAGTCTCATGATATCATAATGTGTCACGAAAATTTTTTATTATCCCATTATATTTTCTAGTACGTATTAACTTGAAATTATATAACCAAATTTGGGAAAGGCGAATTGTTATAAAAAGAAATTGCCTCCTTTTTGAAACCATGGAATTGTACTCTAGAGAATACGAATAAAATTAAAAATTTTTTATATCAAAAAACCGGTACAACAACAGAATTATAGATAATAATCGACACTGGGAAGATGTACATATTATATATCATTTGATTAAACTGTTGATTTAGGAGGAATGTATACTGAAAGATATTTTGGTTAAAATGGGAGCAATGGAAATATACTGGAATGACGTATACTCACAATTTAAAGAGAAAAGAAGCAGAAATAACAGAGATATATTAATTAATGGTTATTATTAATACTTTAGATATCGAAATTATATAGACCCTTTTAATTCCAAATAAATAGTAAAAATATTATTATTATTTATACTAAAATTGCATTAAATATATCTTTTTTAATTTCTGTAGTATATTTGTCCAATAAACGAAAATATATATATATATATATATAACTTTACAAAAGACCAAGTCGCTCCAATAATTATGTATAAAATAAATAATGAAGCAGCCAGCTGGAAAGAAATAGCTGATAAGCTTAATGAAGCTATATAAGGAATAAAGTAATAAATAAATATAATACCATAAAGAAACCATCAAAAGGTAAAATTTTTGATACCCATTTTTTTTTTATTGATTTAATTAAAGATAAATATAATATTTAGTTCTAACCTACCTATCATTTTAGAACGGTTTGATATACTAGCGAGATTAGCATCCGAAGAAATAGAGAAACTGATAAAATGAATGTTAAATTTGTAATAAACAAACAGGATGTATTAATCAATAATGTAATTTGATGCGAGCATAACTTTTATTTATATAATGACTCTCTACGGCTTTTAGCAGTATTTACTAATTATAATTATTTACTAATATTATGATATTATTATTTTCAGTTTCATTTCAAATAAAAGTTATTCTTATGCATATTTTTATTGTTAAATTTAATTCCAAATTAACTAATTTTTGTTAGTTGATTTATCTTTGAAAATTTTTTTTTTTAATCAATCCGATCCACCTACATAAAAAATACAATAAACTCATGTATTAATTAAGTCGTTTCACACATTTATACAAGGAGGGTGAGCTTTGACTCGCTCGTGGAGATTCTCTAGTATTCTCTTTTGGGATTTGAAACCCAAGAAACTAAAATTTCCTGTTACGCTACTCAAGAATCCGAGAATTAAAGGATTTACAACAGTCAACCTGTGAAACTATTTTCTGTATTATATCAATTTCAACAATTTTGACAATTACAAATTAATCAAGATTGTCAAAATTTTCGGGTTAACTGTGTATCTTTCTATAAGAAAGTTTTATACACCGCGGGTGAACGGGTTATATACTGTAATCTGGAAATTTAAAGAATCAATTTTTTTCATACAATGACAAAATCTTTTATAAAATTTAATGAATTAAACATATTTAATATTTTAATTTGTTCATTATGTTTTTCAAAAAATAATATCACGAAATTGTATTATCTTTATATTCCATTTTCCGACTATTCAAAATACCTCCAATATTAACAGCCAAACATTCAACTTCAAAAATTTTTTGTACATTTTGTAAATTTTTAAAATATAAAATTACGCAAAGACTATTCTCAACTTCTTCAAGAACGAAACTATGAGGTTCATTCATCACAGAAAAAGTTCTTGGTTCAGAAAGATCAATAATTATACCCAATTCTCTTATAATTTCATGATTATTAAATATCAACTTTTAAAGCAAAGTTGGGTTTTTAATTGCAAGGTTTTGGATATTGTTTTCAAATAACTAAAGGAAAAAAAATAAATTAGTGAAAAAAAAAATAATTATAAAATTATAATATTAACAATGAACTTACTCTTGACATCGTTAAATTTCTCACATACAAAGATTTATAAATGTTTTAAAAAAAAACTACTACAAAATGTCGAAAAAGCTTCTTTTGAAAACAATATATTTTTTTTTCAAACGGAATGGTATCATTCTCTATCCAAAAGATGAAATTTTAATTATTTTTAATTTAATAAAATTTTGATTATTAAAACTTACTTGCATTCAAAGAATCTTAATTTCTTAAATTGTTCAACTCTTTATCATTAAAAATTTTATCATTAAAAATTATGATTTTCTGATCAAATTTTTCACTTATAAAATTCTCCAATTAATTTCTTATATCGAGCTCCAAGAATTCTTGAATTTAGATTTATGTTTAAACACCACCACCATAGGTCTTATAAAAATTAATTTTCACATTAATTAAGGAACAATGTATTATAATCTAATTTTGAAGTTCAAAACGAGAATACATTACATTACTGAAAATAAAGTTCACATGGTTAAAAACTTCATCTGATATAAATAACAATACATGTAAAAATATAATACAATATAGGCAGAGGTCGACTTTTTAAAAGTTTGGTGTTAAATATTATTAAAAAATTTTGAATTGTTAATAATTTGAATTGTGGATTAACACATCCGTCATAATATAATAAACCTTGGGCCTTTATTATTCTTTCGTTTGCGATTTGTTAAAGATGACATTTTTCTTGATTTCGGTTACACCAATGATAATATTATTTACCTTTAATTTCTAGTTCTGATTTTATTTTTAACATTCTTTTGAAAACATCAGCGCCAAATTTAAAATAATCCAAATCATAAAGTCGACACAGAGATGAAAAGTTCCATTGGGATCACATTTATCTTTTTTTTTTTTACAGTAATATCTAAATTAAACATCTGTATTTAATCCTGGTTTCATATCTAGCAAATATTCTCTGTTTGAAATATTCTCTGTTTGAAATATTCTCTGTTTGAAATCATCAATTGTTACATCATCTTTTGTTCTGGCAACTTCAAGATCTGCATTTTAGACGAGTAATGGAGATTTGACAACAAAATATCAGATTCTCTGATATACGACAAAATACAAATCATGAGAAGGTTTTAATTGATTCAATTTTTCTAACAGTTTCTGCTCAGTATTTGAAACATATTGATGATAAGATGAAAAAGAACAATGTTGAAAACCGCTTCTTTATACAGTGGCTCACAAAAGTATTGCAACAACTGTTTTTTTGTCTTTAAAAAATTTTAGCACCTGAACGATGAATTTTAGAACAATAGTTACTAAACAAATTTTAATCTTGTTAAATAATTTTATTTATGTAATAAATCAAGTCTTAATAGTTCATTCTCTCATAATTATTTTCTTTATAAAAAAATAATGAAAAGATTCTAACATATTAGGATTTTCTTTTTCTTTTTTTTTTAAAAAAAGAAAATTTAAGTACATGAGAAATTTGATCTTGAAATTTCAGTCAATCATTGATATTCTAGAGTTACATTCCGTTTAGTAGGCAGGCATTCTATAACAGGAGAAAATAAACCATAATTCTTAAAAGATATTTAAATTAATGTTCTAAAACGTAATACTTTCAACATGTCCCATATTTAAATGTAAACAAAAATGAAAATTTTGGAATTCAAATAAATAAATACTATATTAACACAATGTGAACCATATAAATAAATAATGATATTTCTCTATTCTTTTATTAATAATTATGATTAGAAATATTTATTCTTTTCTTATAATATCACTCCATTTTTGATCTTTTAATTCTTTAATTAATTCATCTTTAATTTCTCTTACTTTGCCCGCACCATCATAACTTAAACTAGTATATAATTGTACTAAAGTTGCTCCTGCTTTAGCATATTCCAAAACATCCTTAGCATTGCTTATTCCTCCACAACCAATTAAAGTAATTTTTCCTTTGGTAAGTTTATTCATTTTTTCCAATGTATTTAAAGCTAAAGGTTTTAAAGGAGGTCCAGATAAACCACCTATTTCATTGATTAATCCTGAAAAAAAAAAGAATTTGAAAAAAGAACAATTCAATTTCAGAAATTAAAATAAAAATTAAAATAAAGATCAATAATAATAATAATAATCCTAATTAAATTTATTACTAACCACCACTTTGTAAAGTTTCTGGTCTTGAAATGGTTGTATTAGACACAATTATACCATCAATATTACTTTCAATCACTGCATCAGCAATATCACTTAATTCTTTATCTGAAAGATCAGGTGCAATCTTAACTAATAATGCAGGACGTGGATTACTTAATTCATTACGAGTAATCACAACCTATCATCCAAAAATAAATAATTTTAATAATTTTCAAAAATATCCTAATTTAATCAAACACATAAACAAAAATATATAGAGTAGAGTAAACATAATTTACCTCATTTAAAAGTTTTTTAAAAATTTCTTTCCTTTGTAAATCTCTTAACCCCGGAGTATTAGGGCTACTAACATTTATAACCAATATATCAGCATAACGACCAAGTCTTTTTATTCCTTTAATATAATCATCTACTGAATTTGGATCACTCCATTTATTTTTTCCTAAATTTATAGCTAATAATTTACCCTCTTTTAAACTTCTATTAATTCCCAAAGAATCAGATAATAAAGGATCATCATCAAGTGAAGATGATTTGATTAATGAAAAAGTTTCTTGAAGAAGTCTTGTTTTATGAAGAATAAATCTTCTTAATCGATCACGAAGACGAATTTCTACCATTTTATGACCATCCGAATTAAATCCGTAACGATTGATTATTGCTTTATCATGAGTTAAACGAAAAACTCTTGGTTTTTGGTTTCCCGGCTTGGATTGTCAATTATTTGTAATTCTTTGTTAATAGAGTAATTATAATAATAATAATAATAATAATAATAATAGTAATAATAATAATGGATAACATTTACCTGTGGTTCAGGAGTAATACTTCCAATTTCCACGTAACCGAATCCAAGATCAAAAAGTGCATCTATGGCCTCCCCATTTTTATCAAATCCGGCAGCCAAACAAATAGGATTTGTAATCTTTTTTCCAAATACCTAAAAAATTATAAATTTAGACTTAACATAAATATAATTTTATAATAATTAAAATTTTATTATTATTATTATTATTATTATCTACCGTAACAGCTAATTTATCATCATCAGGAATTCTATCTTTAGGTGTTAATTTCCATTTTCCAGCCCAAATAGCAAATTTATGACTTTGTTCAGCATCCGTTACATTTGTTAATATTGGCATAATAACATATTTATGAATCAATGATCTAGAATCAAAATAATATTCTAAAAATAAAATTCCACCAATAATTCCGGTTGTTCCGAAAATAAAATTACGGAATTTTTTTGTTCGTTGTAATAAAGAAGAAGAGGAGGAGGAGGAGGAAGAAGAAGAAGAAATAAATTTGGGAAAATTAGATTTAACTAAAACATTATGAATAAATTCTGAATCATATAATTTATTATATAATAAGGTGGATGGAATATTTGAATTCCGTACATGACGGCTTATAGAAGGGCGAAAGAATGGCATATTTTTTTGTGATTGTTATACAAAATCAGACGATCTTATGAAGTTGAAAGTTACACAAAATGAAGTTCTTATATTTAATAATCTTTTAGATTATATCTTCGATTAAAAAAAAAAGAATCTTGTAAAAAAATTAAAAATAAAAGATGAATAAATTATATAATTTAAGACGTATATCTAAATCAAATACTATATTATGCATACATTCCGTATCTTCTCCATTAATTCGCAATTCCAATTATCAAATGTTTAATAAAATAAATATAACTTCTTTTACAACTTTTGTAAATCCTAATTTATCGACCAATTCATCTAATTCATCTAATTCGGCATGTAATTCAACATCTAATTCAACACATGATTCAACAATCATGGAATCGGATATTTCAAATATACCAAATATAATAACTATACCGAATATTCCAGAAACAAAGGAATCTTTATCATTAAATATTGAATCAAATATTATTAATGATTTGAATAAAGGATATAAATTTAAAAAACGAACACATAATTGTGGAGAATTAAATATTTCTAATCTAGGTGAACGAGTAATTTTAAATGGATGGACTCAGAGATTACGGTAAAAGAAAATTACATTCGTCATCATCATTACGTAATTACATACATAACAAATAATATCACAAATGAATTTAATTTTTTTTTTATTCATTTAGAGAATTATCATCAAATTTATATTTTTTACCAATACGTGATTCATTTGGGATTACTCAACTTGTATATCGACCTAAATTAGATGATGACAATAATAATAAAAATAACAATAACAATAATATCAATGTTGAAGAAGAATTATCAAATTTATCAATGGAAAGTATTATATGCGCAGAAGGAATTGTGATGAAAAGGCCAAAAGAAATGATTAACAAAGCAAGTATATATATATAATTATATTAATTATATATTAAATATATGTTTATATTAATTATGATTAATAATAGAAAATGAAGACAGGTGAGATTGAAGTAGAAATAGATAGAATCCATTGCCTTAATCCAGCAAACAAATTACCTTTCTTTCCATCAGATAAACAAGTTGTAAATATTATTATTATTATTATTATTATTATCATTTGATTATTATTATTAATATTCATTAATATATCTATTAATAATAAAATCATTATCTTTAATTTTAGCCTAATGAAGAAGTTAGATTAAAATATAGATATTTGGATTTAAGACGAGAACAACTTCAAAATAATATTCGTAAACGTTCACTTGTTTCATGGATTATCAGAGATTTTCTCATGAAAGAAGGTAATAAATGTGTATATATATCTTTTATGGGAATATAATTCTGGAATATTACACGTTATAATAATCCAAAATATTTTAAAAGTTTATGTAATATTTGTAATATTTTGTACATAAGATATTACATTAAAATTATGTAAAGTCATGTAGATTTCCTGATATGTGAGTAAGAATGAATGTTATTTCTAATTATTTATGTATTTTTGTATAACAGAATTTATAGAAGTAGAAACACCAATGTTATTCAAATCAACTCCAGAAGGTGCTAGAGAATTTATTGTTCCCACAAGATCAAAAGGATTATTTTATGCACTTACCCAAAGTCCACAACAAGTTGAGTATTATTTATTACTTTAATATCCATATATATATTTATTACAATCTATTAAAATCTATCTGTATATATTTCATTATAATAATATTTATTATATAATGTTGATTTTTTAACAAGTATAAACAATTATTAATGGCAGGTGGAATTGATAAATATTTTCAAATTGTAAAATGTTTCAGAGATGAAGATACAAGATCTGATAGACAACCTGAATTCACTCAGGTAAATAAAGTATTAATATAATAGAAATAAAAATTCATCATAATTTTTATATATATATTAATATTAAATATTTTATAGATTGATTTAGAAATGTCATTTGTCACAATTTCTGATATAACATCATTGATAGAAAAATTAATTATGGAAATTTGGAAAAAGGCTTTGGGAATTGATTTACAAGATAAAATTCCATTTCCTAGAATTAGTTACTTGGATGCTATTAATAAAGTAAAGTTTGATTATTTGTATAAATTAGTAATAAAATTTTATTGTATTAATTAATTGTTATCATTTTAAATAGTTTGGTTCAGATAAACCAGACACAAGATATAATTTTGAGGTAAATATTCACATTCATCAACAATTAATATACTCTATTTTTAATAATATATTATTATTGTTATTTATTATTATTATTAATGATTTAATAACAGATTAAAGATTTATCCAAATATTTTAATCACATTCTTCCTGAATTAAATTCAGATACTATTATTGAATGTATATTAATTAAGAATGGAATTAAATCATTAACAAATAGTGAAATTAATTCACTCAAAGATTTAGATAACAATGATAATAACAATTCTTCAATTAAGAGAGAATCTTTGATTTCAGTGGGTATTTATTTATGATTATTTGTTAAATCTTTATAATTATGATAATTTATCTTTAATTAATCTATCATTTGTTTTTTTTATTGAAGAAACCAATTTTTATTAAAATCACATCAACCAACATTTCAAATTGGATATCAAAAATTTTTATTAATAAACAATCTAATGACTCACAAATTGATGATGAAACTATTACAAAAGAACTTGGAATTGATGTTGGAGATTTGGTGATTATTAATAAAAGGAAAACTGTGGTATTGGTAAGCATATCATATATAAAATAATATTTATTGCAATTGTTAATAACAATTAGATCAATATCAATAATAATAATAATGCAATAATAATAATACTATATATCAATAGGAAAGTTGTACATTGTTAGGTCATATTAGATTACAGATTGCAAATATTTTACAATCAAAAGGTATTTTAAATTTATATAATTGTAATTTAATAATAATTGAAGTTGAAATAAATACTGAAATTGATTTGTTATGAATGTTTTAATAAAAATTGATTTGCTATGAAAATTTTAATAAAAATAGGCATTTTAAAAATTCCACAAGATCAATATAATTTTCTTTGGGTTGAATCATTTCCTTTATTCACTCAAGAGACTGATAATGATAATAGTAATAAAAAAAACAATAGTAAGGAAGAAAACAATAATGATATTAAATTAATTTCAACACATCATCCATTTACCGCACCTGTAGTAGAAGATTTGGATTTATTATTAAAGAATCCAGAAAAAGTATGTACAGAATAGTTGACATTATTTGTTTATTTATTAATAATTTTTGTTAAATATTGAATAGGTTAGAGGACAACATTATGATCTATTATTGAATGGAGTAGAAGTTGGTGGAGGATCAATTAGAATTCATTCACCAATTTTACAAAATTTTATATTTCATAATATATTAAAGGTAAAAAATTTAATTAATTGATTAATTAATATTTATTATTATTATAAAATAAGTAAAAGGAGTAAAATTAATCTTGTATTTTATTCTTGTTAAATAAATAGATGAATGAGAAACAAAAAAGTGGATTTAGTCATTTACTAAATGCATTCAGTCATGGATGTCCTCCTCATGGTGGCATTGCATTAGGTATTTCTATATTATATTTTAATAATATTATTCAAACTTGATTCATTATTTAATATCAATTAATTTACCAATACTTTTTATTTTTTATTCTTTTATTTATTTATACACTCATATCCTATGCATTTATACAGGATTTGATAGATTAATGTCAATAATATGTAATGCATCATCCATTAGGGATGTAATGGCATTTCCTAAATCTTCATCAGGTTGTGATTTATCTGTTTCTAGTCCTGGCGAAATTACTAAAGAACAATTGATGTTATATAAAATTGTAAATTAAAAATATTTTTTTTATTTATTTATTATTATTTATGTCATATATTTGTATCTATTTATTTATTCTATAAATAAATTCAATAAATAAGTTATTTATTTAAAATAGAAAAAAGGTTTATTTTTATTTTTAGTTGAAAAATTCAAAAATATAAAAAAATAAATATGAAGTTAATTCAAATATCATATTGGTAAAAAGAAAACAAAAAAAGCAAAAAACAAAAAAGCAAAAAAAAAAAATAATAATAAAAATAAAAGAATAAATTTAATCTGTTTCTAAGAATTCTATAATTTGTTATCAGTTATTGATATTTCACATAATTCGTCAGTCATTCGTAAATATTTATTAACTATCGTAAATAAATAAATAAAATAAATAATTTTTTCAAATAATTGGATAATTGGCAAATACCTTTTTTTATAATAATCAACTAAAATGTGGGAGTTGTAATATTTTCGATGTCTCTTCTTAATTGCAAATATTTACCTTTCATCATATGGTTCAGAAACTAAAATTAATCGTAAATATTTGTGTTCACTTTATAGTTATCAAGTGCACCTATAATTAAAAATAAAAAAAAATAAAAAGTTACTATAAAGAAAATTAATTAATCAGGCGACTTCTCTTGAACACCACCGGGATCACTATATTCGGGTGATTATAGAGAATTGCCGATTTTATAGTCTCTTTTAAGCGCAACATATAAAATTCCCTACAGCTAGTTACTATAAGCACATTTTAAAAAAAAGTTCTGATGGCGTGATTATAGAGAGGTCTGTCTGTATACAGAATCGGTCCCCATATAATCACCAATGTATTATAAAGAATTTTTATATAGTGATCGAAAATAAGATATACTTATTTTTATTAAAATGTACATTATTTACATTTATTTAAAATTTTTACATATTTATTTAAATCAAAATTTTATGGTGAAACATGGTTTTTTTTCACAAATCATAAGTGAAATTTTTCATCACCAGAAAATTGAATTGTTTTTCATATCTAATTAAAGGTTTCAATGCATTCAAATATTTCACCATTTCAGAATATCTTCAGCTGCACCAACATATGTTTCTATTTCATCAATTAATTCGCCATTTTCGTCATCAAAACTCTTGATTATTTTACATTTGATGATAAAAATTCCAACAATTTTGTATTGTCATCACAGTTTCTAATAAAAAGTATTTTTTTTCTATTGAATTTAAAAAATATATTAAAGAAGTGGGAAAAGGGAAAGGAAAAATAAAAGGATGTGGAAGGGAAAGAAATAAAAAGAAGAATGGAAGAAAATACAGGAATAGATAGTGCATTTTTGTTATTTTGTTATTTTTTATGTTGTTATTTTGTTATTTTGTTATTTTAAGAAAAAACAAATACTGTAATTAGACCCCCAAAATTAGTTCATTGGTTAATTGATTTGATCATTTTCTTATATTAAATGTGGCGCCTTAAATCGTCACGCAACGCAGACAGTATCATTTTTTTATCATTAGTAATCCAGTTTTATTGTTTTTTTCAAACTTGACGCACAATCAAAATACTAAAAAAAGATAATTTTTGAATGATCATTTCAAGGAGACAATCTGGAATTACAATAAAAATTAATCCCGATTGACAACATCCTGTAACACTTTGGCATTGTTCAAATTTAATTTGATATTTTGTTTCTTAGTATTATCCTTATTACTAAGCCTAGCCTTTCTCGTAGCACAAAGTTCAGTTATTTAATTTATTAATAATTCTATTCTAAGTAATTGAAACGTATTGCGTTTTTTTAGATCTTAATTCGGTAAACATAAAAAGTATATTCGATTACTTGGCAATCTTTAAAATAGCCACAATCTTTTTTTTTTAAAAAAAAAAAAAAATCCTGAGGAATTTCTGTTTTTTTTTCAAAAAAAAAAAAATTTCTTGTAAATAGCAAATAACCGGTAAAAATTTTATTAACGAAACGAAAACGAAAAATCACAAAAGAATCAATGATGATGAAAAAAGAGCATTTTACTTTACTTTTAATAGTGGTGGTTTTGTTTGTTTCAATTGGAAGTGTTTCGGCTCAATCAGCACCAGCAGAAACTACCGTTGCAAGTGATGTACCAACAGCAGCACCACCAAGTGATACACCAACAGCAACACAACCAAGTGATACAGCAACAGCAGAACCACTTCCAACATCAGAAGAACCAATTTCAACAACAGCAGTACCACTTCCAACATCAGAAGAACCAATTCCAACACCTTCAACATCATCAGCAGCAGAATCATTACCTCCAGAATCATCAGTAGAACCACCTCCAACAGATACACCATCTTCAACACCAACAGTAGCACCAACAACAACACAACTTCCACCATCTCAAAGTACACCTCAAACATCAGCAGATGATTCAACAACAAATCGACCAGTTTTAACATCAGCAACATCACCAGGTAATTAATTAACATATTTTTACTACAAATTCGATTGAAACTACCACCGAAGATAGTAGTCCTTTAGGTACAACTTCAATAGCTGATACAACAACTTGATACAACTACATAGCTGATACAACAATTTGATACAATACAACTGCAATAGCTGATACAACTTGATATAACTACAATAGCTGATTTGATCACAATAGCTGATACAACTTGATATAACTACAATAGCTGATACAACTTGATATAACTACAATAGCTGATACAACTTGATATAACTACAATAGCTGATACATCTTCTTTACCTCTAGAAAATACACCACCACCATCTTCAGATATCACTGAAAATACTGAAATAGAAAATACTGAAACAGAAACAGAAAATACTGGAATTGTTACAACTAAAGTTACAACTAAAAATACTTCTACTGAAAATGGTATAACTGTTATAATGTTACAACTGAAAGTACTGAAACTCAAACCACAATCAAAAAAGATACAAATAAAACTATCAATAATATTAACATTGTTACTACCTTATTATCTTAGATACTACTCCTACTTCTACAAAAAGTACACCAAAAACTAATGGTAGTGTGAAGTCATTAGATGAAAAAACGAACGATACTTACAAATTTTAAAACCAATTTTAACAATTATTCTATTTATATTATTTATACTCAACCAGAACCAGAACCAGATACCACTATTCCAACAGAAACAACCACCACTGGTAAAGTTTCTTGTTCCTCGTGTAAAATTGATTCTACAGTGTAAGTTATTCTAAAATTCTAGTCTTTTTAATCTAGTTATATTACAAATATTTTAAACTTTGTATTTCGGAAAATATTTTATTAAAATTATTTATATTCAAAAATCATAGAAATACTTCCATCAAAGGTCGGATTACTACATCAACTGAGGATGTTCCACAATCGGAATCGGGAACTATTACTACTTTCAGTCCAACTAATCATGCTACTACAAATGTAAAATACAAGACCACCACTTTCTATTCAACAACTACATTATTCTATCCAGGTTATACTACAACTTACACGACAACTATAAATGGAAAAGCAATTCCAACTGAATCTTATGTTCCTCCAAGTACTGTAGTTGTCGTTAAAAAAGTTACTGCAGCTGTTCCAGAAGGTGTTTCTGAACCTACTGGTATTACTTCTAATGCTGGTGGTTCAAATAATTTAAATTTATGGAAAGATAAATTAAATCGTTTGGTTATTTGTTTGTGGGCGATTGGTGTTGGTTTTGTTTACGTGATTTTGGCTTAATTTATAATTATTGCATTACATTATAAAAAAAAAAATATCTTATCTATAATAATATAATATTTAAAAATATCTATATTCTATAATATAATATTTTAAAAAATATCTATTTGCATGGAAAATATATGATTTAATTATATTTATTTATTAATTAGAATTATTTATTTTTTACGCGGATTTTTGTAAAACCTTTTATCATATTAAAGTTTATACAATAAAAATGTTTACATGTTATATTTTTTTCATTTTTTTTTTTAAAGAATCTATGAAAAAAAATTTGTACGAAAATATAATAACGACTGGAATTATGAAATGGATTTCTCTTATAAACCAAAATTCTGTACCTTTGAAATTTAACGCAATGTTTCCTATCAACTTATATTATATTTTTTCGCTATAATACGAAATGTCTGTTTATTATTATTTAAAAATTGTTCATGAGATTTATCGTAATCTTTGATATTTCTGAATTTATGATTGCTTGAAAAAGAATACTTGAATTAGTTAATTTATTAAATTTTTTTTCTCCGTCACGTCACGTACATTTGTTTTGTTTTGAATTAAATAAAAATTTTACAGAATTATAATGAATTGTAAAGAGTCAAACAGAGAATAATAAAAAATTTTATGATTATTTTTTTTTTTGAATTTATTTACATCAATCACATTGAAAGAAATTTTAACAGCTTCGTTTTTCTTAATGGCAGAATCTTGCATCCGCCATTCTTACAACTCCACAGTCGGTTAAGAAGAAGTTTGGTAATTTTTTTGTTGCTTCCAAGAAAGCATCAAACAAATATCCGTGAAAAATAATGTCACATTCTTCCACATTCAAAAAACACAATTAAGAACAAAAACTCTTTAACCACTCATAAATAATTTTCCAAAAAATAAATAAAAGATAAAAAAAGAAGAGATAAAAAAAGGGTAAAAAAAAGAAAAAGGAAAGAGTGAAGTAACAGTATATACAATGAAAATTATTTTTATAATAAATTTTCATTTCTATTTTTTTTTTTTTTTTTAAAACAAAAAATAAATAACTCCTCGCCTCACTACCAATAGGAATCTATCTAAATGGATAATCAAAATTAGAAATTACACTTTGTAAAGTCTATATTTTCCTAATAGTTCCCCACCGTCCATCATCTCTGCAATTGTTTTTTGCATCCTAACCCATTCATCATCACGTGGAATGGATAACTATTATTTAATTCCGGCCGAAGATAAATAAATATAATAAGTAAGAAATAAAATATAAATGAAATAAATATTATAAATAAATAAAATAAATATTGATAAATCAAAAAAAAAATAATAATTACCTCGCCAACATCATATACATGAACTCGTCCATCTGAAGCTCCAATAGCAGCTCTTTTACCATCCTTATCCCATTGCAACTTATTTAAAGCTCTACCAGTTCCAACTTGAGTATTAACAATCGGAATTTCAGGGTCATCATTTAAATTCCATACCGAGAAATTTGCTTTACCATCCACCGAACCAAACATGGCTGGATTAGAGGGTGACCATTTAACATCATAAACATAATCATCAGTAGCTTCAAATGAATATATTGAAGAGATGATTTGAGCTGAAGATGATGGTTTGGCAATTGATTTTGCTTTCCATAGTTTAATCGTCCAATCTACAGATGAGGTCAGGAATAAATCGGAAAAGTCTATAGGTCCCATAAGTGGATGGAAATGAAGCCCTGTTACGGGACCCCAATGACCTTTGTAAAAGTCATAAGGGTTTATACCAGCTTTACTATAAAAATTTAACAAAAAAAAAAAAATTAATAAATGAATTTTTTTAATAAGGATGTTTAAAATATTATAAAATTCGTACCCTCCAGCATGACCAAATCTATTTGCTTGATAAATATTTCCTTCTTCTGTTCCCACCCAGAAAGCGGATGTCTCATTTTCTGGAAAACTAAATGATGTAACTGAAACTTCATCAGTTTTTGTATGTTCGGAATGCACTAATTCCAATGTTTCCTGATAATTATTTATAAAAAAAAAAATAAAAAAAAAAATCAATATAATTTATTAAAAATTATTTAAAATATTTTATAATATTTATAAAAGAACATTTTACCGTTGGTTGTAATAACATATCCAGTTGCCATGAACACAATAATCCATCAGTACTAGCAGTGATAAGATTGTGTGCATTTTGAGTTCCCACCATTTGCATCGAATAAATGGGATGTGTATGACCATTGCAAGAAAGTGGTGTCTTAAGGACAGGTAAACTTTTTGCTCTCATATCCCAAAGTAATACTTGACCCGAATAAGTTCCACCAATAATAAGATTTTGGTGGAAGGCTGAGAACATCGTTGTCAAAACATCCGACTACATGTAAAATATGAGTAAAAAAAATTGAAGTAAAGAAATATAAGCATCAAAATATTTGAATACATAATAATACATTATAAAAGTATAAAAGGATTCAAAGAGCAAATTATATATATATAATAATAATAAACATACCTGAGAATGGAAAACGAATTCTGGACGTTCAATTAGTCTTAAATTCCATACCAAAACAATCCCATCAGGATCATTCATATTATAAGGATTTTTATTATATGACGCGACACTTAATTCAGGATTCTATTGTAGTCAAAAAGTATGAAAGAGGTTAAGAAAACTTTGTAATCTAATTAAGTAATATAATTAAGAAAGAAGATAAATAAATAAATAAATATATATATATATATATATATATACCTTATGTGACCAGTTCACATCTGTAACAAATCGATTTTTGCTCCATCGTTCATCAAAGTAGGAACATAAAAATTTTACACATGGACCATCATTTATCTCACTTTTTAAAATAAAAGAATTTTTGTCAGTACGGATGAGAAAAGCAAAAGATGTTAAAAGATATGAAAATACTAACTTTTCAGTTTCATCATCAATAGTATAATCCCTCATTAAATCATAATTCTCATTAAGAGCCCTTTCTACAATCTTTGATGAATACTTTATAAAATCATTGAATTCTGGTGAAATAACAATACCCTTTTTTTCTTGATCAGATAATTCTAGAAAAAAATAAATTATTATTATAAAAATGTTTATTAAAAGATTAATATATATAACTAACAGAAAAATAATCAAATTAAAATTCAAATTATAAAATTATATTAACCATTAAGTTTCGCTTCCTTTTTCTTTTCAGCTTCTCTTTTCAACCGCTGTTCTTCAGCAGCTGCTTCTCTGGCTTTTATTTCATCATCAAATTCTTTCTTAACTTTTTCCCGAATTTCCTCTTCTGAAGGTGGTGGTGGGACAAAGGAAGTATCTAAGGTTTGTGTTTCTTTGGTATAATATACAATTTCCTAAAATAAAGAAAAATTGTTTATATGTTATTAAATTTGAACCTTTACAATGACCAAATTATACAAAAACAAGTCGATAATTACCTTTGGAGGAATATCCAATATAATTTCTCCAAATGTTACAAATTGAGGAATGAAACGGGCTCCTCCTAGGGCAGCTGAAGAATGAGCTTCGGAACTGTTAAAAATCAAACCATTATTAACCAAATAAACAAGAATGAAATTAATTTTCCAACTAAAATTAAGGTATACCTTAAACTACTCTGAATAGCAGGGGCAGAAGGAGGTCCCGCTGTATCAGCGGAAGGTGGACTATCAAGACTCGGTGTTTCTGTTGAGGCGGCTTCTTCCGGTACCGCTGGTGCCGGTGTTTCTGGTTCTTTAGAAGCGGGTTTTGGATCCAATAAATCCGCAAGAAGAGCTTTCAATTCATCCTGACGATTCTATTTTCACAAATAAATAAAAATTCGGGTTTATATCTGATGTGAAAATTATGTAACATTTTTATCATAATTTTATTACTAACTGATTGGGCTGGTGTCTCTGTTGGTGGTGCTTTTGATGGTTTTGGTTGTTCAGTTGATGGGGGAGTTTTTCTTTCTTCTCTCGCTCTTCTGAGCTCTTCAAGTTTTTGTCTTTTCTTTTGTAATTCTTCTTTTCTTCGTTCAGCTTGCATAATTATAAGATTAAATCTTTTTTTTTTTTTTTTTTAAAGGTAGAGAGGCTGAAATTTAATAAAAATTTTCATAATATTATAATACTTGATCAACATTTTTGTGTCCAATTCCACACATATAAACATATGAAACATTTGATAAAGGCGCAAACGTTTGTGTGCGTTGCGGATTCACACCAAATCAATAAGTGCTCCTGTTCAAAGGAGATCAATCTTTCCAAATTGAGAGATCACGAAGACGAAAAAGTTATATAGGTTGCAAAGATACTTGATTAAGTCATATGTCATCGCACAATGCAAATAACGTTACGAGGATTCCTATTGTGTAGAAATACTAATTTCTTTGAGTGTAGGAGTTATTTTGGGGACAATAAGTATCACATATGCAAAACATTATCAACCATTTTTCCGGAATAATTATCCGTAAATAGTAACTCGAAATAGAGTTAGAATTCATAATAAAGTTAGTCAGCAGATTGTTGTTTACATGCATAAATTAAATGTAAAAGAGAATAAATCCATATAAATCATTAATATGACTTTATAAATTCTCTGTGTTCTTTAAATGTAATCATCATAATCATTTTCCTTATTTTAAATGTTATGTCAAAGATTTTGTTAAAAGGGGAGAAAATTATCTCAATTTAAAGATACAAAAATTATTTCTCACGCTAAAAGATTTTTTTAATTTCTGTTCAAAGTTGATTGTTTGACATGAAAAGAAGTCGAAGTAATCTTATATCACGTGAAATAGTAAAAATGTGGCATTGTATTTTTAAAGAAAATCTTTAAATGGTCGAAATAATTTAAATAATTTTTTAAAAAATTCTCTACTTCCAAGAAGCAATTAAGGGGTATGAAAGATAAACTTTTCTAATTCAGTTTGAGTAATTTCAATCGATTTGAAGCATTCTTTAAATCCCTGTGCCATATTCAAGAATAACACACTAGATTGAATCTTTATATGAAAAAAATAAATATAAATATAGAATCAATTGAAATTCCATGTTTGTTCGTTGACAATTCTACCTTGGAAATCAATCCGGCGATCAATTCCGGAACTGGATTCCTATATATGAATTTCACATGATATAGTGATGATGACAACAATATTTTAAAATTTCGGACTTGCATTATGGGGTAATTTGTAATAATCTGGTCAGATGAAAAAGGAAAGTAAACTAAAATAGTTACGCTTTAAAAGGAAATAGCAATACATGATATAATGAAAATTTAACATTTTATTATTTGTTATTCAAATTTGGTTAAATGTCAAACATATTATTATATTGAAAGTTTCGTTCAAAAACCAATATAAAAAAAAAGATTAATGTTTAGATAATATTTTTATTAATTACATCATTATTATAAAATTATTGGGATCAATTTTGGGCTGACTTTTCATTTATTTAACCCATTCCTTCTCATAATATTTTCATAATTTTCTATAAGAATATATTTTTGAAATTTATTACAAATATGGAAAATAATGAAGAAGCTGAGTTGCTGTCTCCTCCTCCTCCTGAAGATAATCATGATAGTTCTTTGAATAATTCAAATTTATCTTCATACCCAAAAACGAAGATGTCTACCCAGAATAATTCCTCTCATCAATATCCTGACTATGGTGCAATAAACCGTTCTGGTAATGACGATAACAGAAATATTGATCACAAGACAAATTCTACAATTCCAAACGCATTTCCTTACATCTTTCCGACGAGTTCGAATAAAAATGTCAATTCGAAAGCAGACAATCTTTATACTCCGCCACCTACCACTCCGAATAATAATAATTATTATAATTCACCACGTGATTCACAAGTACCATCTTCAAAATTATCGAAAACTAATAGTTATGACTCCACCAACCCCATAAATTCTATCAGGAATAATTCAATTGATCAAGAGAGAAATTTATTAGATAATGATTTAGACCGAAGAAATAAAACCAGAAAGAAAAAAAGAAATGCTTGTTGTTGTATATTTTGGGGAACTTTAGTCATAATTATTATAATTATTTGTCCTATTGCTATATTCGTAATTGCTCCGATCATAGCTCAAACTATTGCTGACGGATCTGAAATTCAATTTTATGATGTGAAATTAGACAATATAAGTGAGGACAATTTTTCGTTAACTGTTTCTGGTGAAGGTATGTTTTTTTTTTATATATTAATCATAATATATTCGAAATATTCGAAAATATTTTATGGATTAATTATTTATATTTGTTATAAAAATAAAGAAATAATAATTTTCTCGCTCATAAATAGTTAGTGAAACTGGTTTTTTACCAGCAACAATTTTCCTACCGGATGGAGTAAAAATCTTTTGGGAGGGAACATTGTTAGGTACAATGCCATTGGATCCTATAACTACTCAAAGATTCAATGTAACCAAAATTGAAACCACTAAAACATTCACAATAGCGAATAAGACAGCATTTGCGATGTTCAGTAAACATATGTTAAATAATGATGAATTCACATGGAATTTAGAAAGTGAAACTTTAGTTAGAGCTGCCGGATTGGATTTAAGTGGAATCAGATTATCTAAGAGTGTCACTATGAAAGGTATATTTATATTTATTAATTTGTTACTATTAATTCTTTTTTTTTTGTTATTTTTAATATTTATAAATAATAAAAAAATATTGTTAATTATATAATAATATATTTTGATAATAGGAATGCAAGGATTAAAAGATGTGACCTTAAATAATTTTACTATTCCAAACGTTCATCCAGATGGTGGTATCGCAATTGAAATCAATTCATCTCTTTTTAATCCTTCTTCAATAAGTGTAAAACTTGGCGATGCTTTCTTTGATATCATCTATAATGATCAAATCGTCGGAAAAGTACATTCCACCAATTTCACTCTATTAACAGGTTCGAATAACCTCTCTTTAAATGGTCGTCTCATCAAACAGAATTCTATTGACGGTTTATTAGCGGTCGGTGATCTATTTTCAAAATTTATTACTGGAAAAAATTCAACTGTTGGCGTGTTAGCAAAAAAAGTTAAACCTAATAATGATACACCACCAATATCTTGGTTACAATCTGCTTTTGAGGGAACTTTCTTAACTGTGATATTACCTGGCATGCAAAACGTGTCTATCATTCATAGTGTCACACCAAATTCTCTAGATTTAGAGTTTAACGAGATAAATCAATATTCACCATTAGCTGCTTCATCATCTTTAACAGTAAATTTCAGTATCCCATTTAATTTTCCATTAAGTATGAAACAAATTTCCCAAAATATCACAATTTTGGATGGTACAATTCCCTTAGCGACACTTAATATTGCTAAAACTGAAGCTACCGGAAATACAACAACTGGGATAATATCTTCAAGTTTCTCTTCAACACCATTTAATATAATTCCAGGTTCTGAATCAATATTTAATGATTTCTCAAAACGACTTACTACCGATTCAAATGTTACATTTACAATGCAAGGTGTAGCAAATTCATTATGTACGACACCTGTAGGAGATATCGAAATTAAAGGAATTAATTTCACAGTAAAATCTGAATTAAAAGGTCTTCAAGGATTAAAAGCCAAACCCACAATTCTTAATTTTTTAAAAATAATTGGTGGTACACCAGATTATATTTCTATTGAATTAAAAGTATCTTTGTTTAATCCATCAAATGTACAAATATCGACTCCATCATCAGATATTTCATTTGATTTAATCTTTCAACAATTTAAAGTTGGTAAAGTCATTATACCCAATTTCAAAATTTCTCGAGGTGATAATCCGAATTTATTAGTGTTTGCACAATTTTCTCCCAAAACTGAAGAAGAAATTAAGGTGGGACGTGTATTATTGAATAAATTTTTGGATGGAAATCAAATTGATATAAGTATAAATGGTAATAAAAATTCGACAAATATTGTACCATTACAAAGTGCCATGGAATCTATAAATTTAAATATAATAGTACCAGGTTTGAATTCTTCGAAACCTATTGTCACCAAAACGAGATTTTCAATAAAATTGAATACTGTAATTAATAAAAAAGCCAAAGCGGCAATGGATTTATTTAATCCGTTAGATACGGAATTAAAAATACAAAAAATAAATGCAAACGTTTTTTCAATTAATAATCAAACAGGAGAAGATAATGAATTAATTGGAATAGTTGATCAAGATTTGGGAAGTGAGGTGATTGTGATTGGAATTGGTGAAGAAATCACTAGTAAAGAATTTGAATTAGAGTTGAAATTAGGTTCAGCAGCGATTAAGAGTTTATTGGAGAGCTTGAAAGGTGATCTCAAAGTTAATGTAGAGTCAATTATCGGCATAAAAGTTGGAGAATATCAAACTGAGGTGGATTATAGTGAGTATTTAATTTATTATAATTTATTTTATTATAATTTATTTTATTATAATTTATTTTATTATAATTTATTTTATTATAATTTATTTTATTATAATCCTGCATCATAATTTTCTCTAAAATTTTCTCTCAAATTTCTCTCAAATCATAGGGCAAAACCAAGTGCCAGCAGTATTAGGAAATACTTCATAAATTACATAAAAAAAATATACATATATTAAGTTTATAACTTTAATGATAGAATGATGGATTTTCTGTTATTTACTTACTTTCTTTTTTTTTTAAAAAAAAAATATGTATACGAACTATTTATTCAATAAAGTTTTTGAATGTAAATAATATAAACTAAGATGCTTATTCACGTGAACAAATAAAAGATAATTATACTGAATAAATAAATAATAGTTTTTACTCAAAATTTTGGTGAACGTAATAACAACAATCATCACAGACTTTTTTTTACATATACAAAGAAGGATTTTGTGATGCTTGTCTAATTTAACGCTTTGGAACTACCCTTTCTACAGCAGATGATCATCAATGGCACAATTGAATGTTCATTTTACGTATAAGAACTTTGATTAGCGAGTTAACTACGCTTATATTATTATCTAATCTCAGAAATGAAGAAATGGAATATATTAAAACGTGGTGAACATAAGATAACCATTTTCATTAATGTTCTTTGTAATATTTTCTCTTTGGTATTTTAAAATATAGACACGGAGAAATTTTGATAATCCTTAATCTAATAAGTGTTTTTTTTTTTTTGCAAATCTGCTAAATATTTCACATATAGGATAGGCGGTATAATTTCAAGTTGTTTAAATACTATTTAATAAATTTAATTATTTAATAAAAAAATTTAAAACTTTAAAAAAAAAAGAGTAATTATACAGTGAAGAAAGATTTAAATTCGAACCTAAGAGTAATCACTAAACTAAAATAAAACCAAATATAAACCCAAATATAAACTAAATAAACTAACCAAATAAATTCAAATAATTTAAGATAATTTCTTCGTCAACCATGAATTGAAGAAATCCAAACCAGCATAAGGTTGATCATAAGGAACCATATGCCCGGCTTCAAAAATTCTCAAAAATGTAAACTGTTCAAAACTTGTAATCTCTCCAGCATTAAAAGAATTTTTCCCACGTGTTTTCCATGGTTTTGTTTCAACTAAATTAAATCCAGGCTTACCACTCCATGGTAATTCTTTTACCCATGCGAAGCTACCTGTTTTGACAAAATAATTTGAGAATTAAATCATATTCGATATTAAAAAAAAACGATATTAAAAATGATGGTTATATTATTATTCGTTTATATTAAAAGTGACTTTACCGATCCAGTTACAAACAAAGTCGGCATCTCCATTATAAATCAAAACACGAATGTTATCTTCCAAAAGTGGTGGAATTAATCGTTGAAAAGGACGCATCCTAACAATTATGATAAAAAATAATTATAAATATTATACTTTTTACTAGCTCAAAATATTACAAAAAAAAAATTTTTTTTTTTACCAATCTCCAGAAAATGAGAATTTAGTGTTGACATCCATATTACAACTCTCATATTTGATTTGTGGATCGGCACCTAATTCTAGCTTCACGTCCATCAGATTAGAATATTTTTCAATCGCATCTAAAATTGGATAACATAAACCACCACCATCACAATCTTTTCTAACATCATAAGGATTTCTTCCAGTATTCATATACGGGGAAACTATCTCTCTATTACAATAAACGAAAGGCGGATAACAAGTGAATACATTGGGAGAATTATAACAATTTGTAATTAATTTAGCACATCTAGGATAAGCATTTCTCATTTTATCACAAGTTCTATCATCTACCACAGGAGGATATGATGAATTGCAAGCCATATCAGGATAATATTTATATTGAATTAATGGATCAACTAAACCATTTCCGATTAAAATTGAGTCAAGATTAATATATTTTAAATTCTTGAGTTTGGTATTTCGAATCCATGAATAAGAAGAAACACTTGAAATATTTTTATTGTTTTCATGAATTTCTGTGGCCATGGCCGGAATATAGTGTCCAGCATATCTATATTTAAAAAAATTATTGTTATTATTATTATTATTATTATTAAATATTCCAAAAAAAAAAAAAATTAAAAATATTTCAAGAAGAGTAATATTTACGATTCGCCAGCAATATGAAAATCTAATTCGGCGTATTTAGGAAATTCTTTGAAAAAGAGTTGAAGGAATGCATAAACGTCAACAGCGGCGGTAAAAGAATTTGTCGCGCCTGAACCATAAGAATATCCGACATTTAAAGGCTATGTAATATATATATTTATTTATTTATTTATTTATTAAATATTATATAAAAATATAAAAAAATAAAAAAAAATAAAAAAAATGAAACCAACTTGATCCAAGAAAATAATGCTAGAATTGGAATTCCATGAATAAGGATTAAAAGTGGTACTAGCTCCATCTTCATTAATCGAACAAGGACCAAGTTCGAAGTATAATCCAGTCAAAGAAGAACATCTAATTATATAATATATATTATTAGGTACGTATAATGTAATATAAGACAATGATTAAAGAGTATATAAATTATTAACTTACCCAGGTCCACCATTAAGCTATAAAATAGTGAATTATAATATAATAATTATATGATAATATAATATTATTATTATTAGTTCATAAAATTTATATTTATATTATATTTATAAATATTAAATATTTAAAAGTTAGAAATAATTAAAATACCCAAAGAACGATTGGGTCGGTTTCAGGGTTACTTCTTGATTCGAAGAACCAGAAAAAGAAATGTTTAGTTTCTTCAACGTCGAGGTATCCAGAATACTAAATATCATTTTATTATATTAATTTTTTTTATCATCAATTTATCAATTCAATTTAATTATATTTAAAAAATATATATTGCCTGTTGAACTGATGGATCACAAATTTTTGGTTCCTTATATCTAACTTGATATTCAGGAAAAGATTCATGGTGAACAATTTTTATTTCATAATCATCATTCTGCGGAAGAAATTTTTGATTTTTCAAATTTTGTGTATTATCATCATCAGTTTTAAATTTATCACTTAACCAATATTCACTATCTATAAGAGGTTCATTTTGTTCAGTAGCAATAAATTGTGAAGAAACTAAACATAATTTAAATAATAAACATAAAATAAAGATTAAATAAGATTTCGTAGAGAATTTCATATTCGAATTAATTCAATATTTATTATTAATATGAATTATTCTTATTTCAACCTATTCCTTCCTTCTTATATAAATAATTTTTAATACATTTTTAATACATACAATAAATTTCCCCTTTTATTATTGTTTTTTTTTGCACAAAAATTTTGGCGTAAAATATGTAAATATCCAAAATACATCATGAATGACCTTCAATTCATCACGTGGCATTACCGTATAAGTAAAATATTACCATATCGTCGGGAAACTCTCTTAATTAATTAAACTTTAAATGCGGGAAATTCGGTTTTTTTGAATTTAGTTTTAAGCAAATAAACAAAATTTCATTATTGTACATAGTTAACGTTAGATCTGTGCTAATAATATTGGGATTCGTAACGGAAACTTCAATAATGTCATATTATCAAGCTTTCATGGTAAATATTTAAATTTTTCATAATTTTCTTAATAAATGTTAATGTATCTTCTTAATTCGTTTGTTATTAATGTTTTAATGTGTTTCATAGATAGAACGCCCCAAAAATGGGTTGGATATTGTTCAGTCACGACTTAAAGGAGCTAAAACATTAAATCTTGAACTCGCTGATTATTTTAAAGAAAGGTATTGTTTTCTTTTTTAAAAAAATTAAAATTATTAATATCTATGAAAATATACGAAATATATATGTGTATACTTATATATCTAATAATTAAATTTAGAGCCACATTAGAAGATAACTACGTAAAAGGTCTTCAGCGGTTATTAAATAAATCACATGTAACCGATAAATCGAATTTGGGGTAATTTTTTATAACATTTTTATTTATCTTCCTTTTTTTTTTCTTAGAATATTAAATTATCATCTAATTTTTTTTTCAGTACCTTTGCAAATGTATGGGATGCACATATCCTTGAAATTCAATCAATAATCGAGATGCATATGGACTTTATGATGAAATTACACGAAGAGGTTGAAGTTCAATTACGAACGAAAGTATCATCTGATCCAGAATGGACAAATTTGAAACATGTAAAAATAATAAGCTTATTAAATATATTATGATGATTGTTTTGATTTCTAAATAACATATCAATATTTAAAGATTTATCTTCTTTGTAATTCAGCAAGAGAGCAATTTAAGTAAATTGGCGCGAGAATATGAAGAAAAACATACAAAAGTTAACAAGGTATTTTATTCTTTATCATAATTATGATTTATAATTATTTAAAGAAATTTAAAAATATTATCAAAATCATATATATAATAATGTTTTACTAAGGAATTATTTCAACAATAAAAAAAAAAAAGCAAAGGAGTAAAACAGAAAAACGATCAGGAAAAAAAGCCGAAGTATTTGGTAACGATATCTTTTATTTCTTCTTATTCTTTCCTACTCACTTTTGTTTATTATTTTTCTTTCTTATTATTATTATTATTATTATTATTATAATAGAAAGCAGACTTTACGAAACACAAAAAGCGCTTGAATTAACTCATGCAGATTGGCAATCTGAATGGTCAAAGTACCTTGAGGTAAAATATTATAATATCATCTTTATCATCTATAATATTTTATTTTATACAATTTTTATTTATAATTTCATAATTTTCAATTTTCATTGAATAGAAATTTCAAAGAGCAGATGGCTCGAGATTACTAAATCTAAAAGAATCATTTGCAAGATTTGAAACCATACAAGCTGATTATTATCAAAGAAGAGCGGGGGTTAATATTTCTATAGATTTCTATAAATATTATGTATATATATATATATATATATTTATTAATAAATTTTTTTAAATTTAGATGGCTGAAAATACTTTGAATGCTATCATGGATTTTGATATACAGGATGAAATGCATAATTTTTGTGTAAAGAAATCTAAGAATTTTGAAGGTTGATTATTATTATTATTATTATTATTATTATTATTGTTATTTATTATTTATTATTTATTATTTTATTTCTGCGAGATAATTTTTATTTTTATTTTTATTTTTATTGAGAGAGAAAACAGTAATTTAATTTAATTATTTAAAATTTAGTTTCTTCTTCCGAATGGAAAAAAACTCTTCCGAGCCAATTGTATGTAAATCCGCATTTGTCATAGTTTTTTTCAATAGTATTTTAATGATATAATTAACATTATTTTGATTATATTGATTATTTTTGATGACACTGTAGTGAATTACAGAAAGTAATTAAGAACACTCCAAATGGTTCTGCAAGTGGTTCTATAAGTGGTTCTACAAGTGGTTCTATCAATGCTCAAACTTCATCTCCAACTGCATCTCCAAATGCATCCCAAAATGCATTAGAAAATGTTCCCCAAAATACTTTTGAAGTACGTAGTAATCGTAATATTTATTACTTGATTTTCCATTTTCTTTAAATACTATATCAAAAAGCATATAGGAAATCGAATTTACTTTTAAAAAAAAAAATTTTTTTTTTTATTACTTATAATTTAGTCAAGAATTCCTGTTGATTCGGAAATAGGTTCCGAATCAAAACATTTTGATGGGTTTTCGTCAAATGATGACGATTCGCTATCTGATGTCGGTTTTAAGTATGATTTGATTATTTACATTTTTGTTTTTGTTTTTGTTTTTTTATCATATTTCAAGTAGTATTAATAATAATGATTCTATTTTTATTATTTTTATAATAAATAGTTCATCTTTAAACCAGAAAAATATTCAAGTTGAAATCAAACCATCAGTCACGGGAGACAATGAAGCTGAAACTGCTAGAGAAATGTCTATGGTGATGACAACCTTGAAATCGGTGAGAATTCGTGATTCATTTTCCAAAAAAAAACAAATCTTAAAAGATTCTGTTAAGATTAACCCTTTTTTTTTAATATACAGACCCCAACCATCAAACAACCAAATCGTAGACATCACCTTAGTACTCCTATTATTAATAGTGATGGAATCAATACAATTTTCGGGATGAATGGAATGAACACAAATTTAGGGAGAACAAATAGTTTGGTGCAAACTTCACAGGCTGAAATTACAAATCATCGAAGGGCAGTATCTGATCCCGAAGTTCAATCACGTGGATTACGAGCATCTATAATAGAAACTGTTAATGTAAAGTCTCAAGGAGGAGAAGTGATAAAGATTCTTGTAACTGGTGAAATAAGAATCTCATATAATTATCCGGTTATAAGAAATAATCCGAATCCGATTAGAATTCGAATAACAAAATTTGATACATTAGAAAAAGCTACTCCAAATACATTATATCTTCGTGCTGTACCAGAAAGTTCTGGACTTTATGATATTGATACTGGATTATTATCAATTTCTGGTATTGCTTCAGTTGCAGTAATGAAATATCAAGTCCATATCGATCCCACGAAAAAGAATTTATATGTTCCATTACAAATAATTCCTCAATGGAAATGCGAACCAAATCTTACATCTTTGGCTGTTAATTATCGAGTCAATCCTGAATGTTTACTCTCTAGCGGTGATGGTGGCGATGGTACTTTAACTGATTTATCATTTCTGATACCAGTAGATGGAGATGTTGAAACGGTTCAATCAAAACCCACTGGTATATGGAGTACAGAAAAGCAAAGAATGTATTGGCAACTTGATGATATAGATTTATCAATTCCTTCAGAGCGAAAAAGAACCTTGGCTCAATTTGAAACTAAACGAGAATCTAATCCTACACCAATAGTTGTTAAGTTTGCACGTAAAGGACAATTACTTAGTGGTATTTCTTTAGAAATAGAGAAACCTATGACAAATGATACATCAAATGAATATAATATTGATGAAAAAGGTCAAACTAAATTCGAAGGTATTGTCGAATTTCAAGAAATAATTCATCAAGTTGTAAGTGGCAAGTTCCTAGCATTGCCTTAAAAGGAAAATTAAGAATAAGATTAAGGAAGGAGGAAGGAGGATAGATTAACCTCTTTTTTATTTTTTTATTTCTTTTGGTCCATTTAATGTAAAATATTTATTTTATTTTTTTATTATTCTTTATGAAAGGAATAATTTATTATTATAGTATATAATTTTCATGTATAATTTTTTTTTAAAAAAAAAAGGCAGGTCAATAATTTCATTATAATATTTATTATAACATTGTACTATTAATTACAAACCTCATTTAAATAATTATATTATCTCTTTTTAACTTATGATATAAAGTATTGATTATTTATTAGCATTGTGAAAACTTAATACATCGTCAGTTTTTTTTTATACTAAATGGAAATGAATGAAAGAAATGTAAAAAGTTTTCTATTGAATTTTTTTTTTTTAATTAATAAAAATTAATAGAGATAAAAAAATTTTTTGTTTATTTCCTAAAGAAAAAAAAATAAATCTCATCTTACCATAGTATAATAAGTAATCTCAAACCACTACTGACTTGAGAGTTTGATTTTCCCTAAGTTTCGAATAATAAGCTTCTCGCTTACGAACGATTGGAACATGATAACCGTACCAATATGCATAACCGGAAAAGGTTCCTAATACTAGAGAAGCAGTAATGTCGATGAAGGCGCTTTTACGAACCATACCAGTAATTGGAGAGATTGCCATTTTTTTTACTTTGGAAAAGACAAATTTAGATTTGGAGAATTCGAAATATAGCTGATAAAGTGTTTATTTACTTAAAATTTAAGGCTTAACATTTTTTTTATACTAAAATTGGTAAAATAGCTCTGCAGGTGTCACTTAACAATCCGGAAACTTTACCGCTTATTTTTATAACCCATAAAAGTATCATGTTTGAACGAAGTAGTCCAGATTCTACTTCTACAACTGAGGAAACTCAAGAAGATTTTGAAGAGGTATTGAAAAAGTTTGGAATCGATCGTAAAGAAATAAGTGATATTCCGCCATTCTCTACAGCATAATATTATATCTTTAGATATTGCATCTACAATCAGAAATAATAATTTTAAAAATTCCAGATATACAATTAAGGTATGAACATTGGTTATGCCAGTGCATCTCAATAAATCAACTTCTGGGCTTGCCAACTAATGACTATCCTTCACACAGAAAAATTTATTAATACCGCAACATAAACTTTCAGTGGGTTTTTGTCTTTTTCCTCTCAGGTCCAAAAGGTAAAAGTGATTACTGCCAGATAATCAGATAATGGATAACCAATAATATGGGATTGTTCATTTTCTGATACTGCACTGTTATGTAGATAGATAAATAGATATATCAGGGATGATGAAATTATGCAGTGACAAAATACAAATTATTTTATTTGCTAAATATAGATGTTATTTTTATGAAGTTGATGATATCATTTTATTGTACAACTCTGCAAAACATGTACATGGAAATAAATTTTCAATAAAATGGAATGGACCATTTTGGATACAAACAAAATTAGAAAAAAATACATATCTAATTTGTGATAAATTAGGAAGGGTACTTCTGAAGCCTATTCATGCAGAGAAAATAAAACATTACAAACAGAGATATCTTGTAGAACCACATGTAGTAATTACTTCTTAATTATATATAATTAATTTTGTACAAATTGAAATTGATATATAAATATACTTGGTACTATGGGTAATTTTAATTTGAAAACAAAATGAATTTACAACTGACTACCGAACAACAACAAAAGTTAATAAATCTCTGTTAAAGCTTCCATCCAACTTCTAGTATAAATATACAATTCATCTTAGTATGATTTATACCTGCCACCCAAATTCAAAATCCAAATGCCAAAATCCCAAATGCCAAAATCCCAAATCCCAAATCCCAAAT